AATATTTTTTAAAAATGAATTTAATTAGAATTGGATCAATATAACAGAATGAAGTATTATTTTTCCCGCAGTGATACATTGAAACAATATCTGGTTAAAATAACTAGAATTCTGGTTAGTTTAACTATAATAAAATGTTAAATTTACAAACAGCAGCTGTAAACAAAATACCTTAATCCAGCAATTCAATAACTCGATGTGGATAATTAAATAAAATTCAATTACTCTGCGCAAATCACTCCGTAAGGCCAGGAATTTGAGGAGTTAATTAAAATTTTTATTTCAAAAAATTTTATTAGAATTTTTTTTTTTTTTTTTTGACGAATTTTCATTGGTCAAATTAGCATTTGCAAGAATTACTTTTTATACAAAGTTTAACTTAACTAAATTTTTAGCTACCAAATTTTTGTTTGTCACAAAATTTTTACTCTATATAGTCATTTAATTTTCATGACTTTTTATTGAAGATAATTTTAATTTAATCGAATTTCAATTCAACATAATTCTCATTCAATAGAATTTTTACGTGATGCGAATTTTCAAATGATAAAAATTCCAATTCACCGAATTTTAATTTGTCCGAATTTTTAATTGATAGAATTTTTAAAACGCCAAATTTTCATTTGTCCAAAATTACAAATGGCCGAACAAACAATCGACAGAAAGATTTCGGCGCAATTTTAAAAATTAACCAATTACAATTTTTTCTTCATAATTTCTAATTCGTTAATTTTAAAAATTGCGCCAAAATCATTCTGTCGATTGTTTGTTTGACCATTTGTAATTTCGGACAAATGAAAATTCGTCGTCTTAAAAATTCGGACAAATTAAAATTCGTGAATTGAAATTTCTGTCATTTAAAAAATTGCATTGAATGTATAACTAAAAATTTTATGTAAAAATTCGTATAAAATGAAAACCTGTCAAATTTTAATTCTAAAATTGAAAATTCATCTAAAAACTAATTATTTCTAATAAATAACTTTAAAATAAAAATTTTAATTAATATTTTTATGTTGAAATTGACTATATCTCCCAATAATTTTTAATTATGTGATAAAATATATGTTTTCTAATGTGCACTCGCTTTGTAATTATAAAAATTTAGAATTTATTCTAATAAATAAATAATAAATAAAAAGAAAAAATATTTGATTCTGGTCAATTTAACAATAAATTTTTGTTAAACAAACCAGAATTTTTTAGTTATAAAATTTTTGTGAATATTTATTTACATACTGAATTCTAGCTGATCTTACCAGAATTATTTAACTAAAACTGTCTAGAAATTTTTCAGGGTAGCTCATCTAAAAAGAGAAAATAAATTTTGAAAACATTTTGTCTAAACTCTGAAAGTATTAATATGCATATTAATTGAATTATAATTTAAATGAAGAATTATAAAATCCAATGCATAAAGAATAGTTCGTTTTGTATAAAGCCATGTTTTCTACAATATACGTATGTATTGTGATGAAAAGTTTGATTTAATTGAAAATCGTAGCCTAAATCCAGGGTGTCTACTAAAAATCTGAATTAAAATTCCAGAACTTTTCTAGGACAAATTTCTTATTTTTCCAGGACATTTCCAGGACTTCCAGGACTAGTATAGACACCCTGAAATCTTTTTGGTTTTGAAAAGTTATTTGCTTAGTTGATAGTAATCTCATGCAGTTTTAAGTGACTTACTGTTTGGCGAACCACTCTTCTTTCGACTTCCCATCATGAGTTTCACTTCTCAGTTTTCCTTATCTCTCTTTTCCTCTAGACCGGTTGCGCGTCTTCTTCGACGGAAACTTTTTCGCCAAAGACGCGATAACAAAAGATTGAAAAGAGAATACCATAGTGTATATATATATATATAGCGTATAGAAGGGATAAAAGAAGAAAGTCTAAGGAAAGTATCGGAATTCAAATAAAAGTTCTCTGGCTGCTTTTGATATTGACTTTGGGACTTGGGGTTCAGTGTGCCTGAATATACACCTATTAATAGGAACTATGGACGATGATCAAACCCCCAGTATAGTTGTAGTAGTAGTAGAAGAAGCAGCAGCATACCACCTTTTGAGAAAAGATAAGATTTTCCGCTGGGATCAATCGACCGTTCTCGCCAACTTTACCACTTGTACTCTTTACCCGGAAGCATTAAGTTGTTCCTTTTGTGAACTTTATATTAACTTTGTCCAAAATATCTTATCCACTCTCTTGGCTATAATATGAAGTGATTCAAAAATTGCCGTTTTGTTTCTGCAAAACTTGTTCAATTTTAAGTTTTCGAGTACAATTTAATTAATGTGTGTGTTTTTTTTTTATTGAAATATGTACGTGGAAAAAAATTAATAAAACTAAACTTGAAATAAATTTATTCTTAAGAGAAGAGAAAAAGAAATACGTCTATAAATTAGACATAATCAGAAAATTCATCAGCCATATGCTCACATAGTTTTTAAATTGCTAGATGTTAAAAAATTACGCTTAGTGCTATTCCCGGTCTGTCAGACCGCTATTTCTATTGTAAGTTTCTGCGAGTAATTTAAAAGATAACATTGTGTTATTATTTCCATGTTTAGTTATAATGGTTTTTAATCAAAATTATATATTTTTTTTTACTTTATAACTGGTCTTATTTTACTTAAAAAAAAATTCTTTTCTTTTTTTCTTTTTTCCGCGATTATTTTATATAACTGCTGAAAATTTTACTGCTGCTAATAATTTATTGAAATAAAATTTTTCAATATAATATGGCTTATGAATTTATATTAATATCTATTTGGCAAAATAAAATTTAAAATATATTTCATCCCCTGATTTACAGATAAAACTTGAAATAAAATTCTTCTATTTCTTGAGAACCTAATCTATAAAAAAAGTTATCCTCAAACATCTATTATATGTCTCATATGAAATTTGATTTCATTCTTAAATTTCACATTAAATATTTAATTTAGAGATTAATTTTTTTTTCATGTAGAATTTTTTTAATAAGAAAAATTTTTTTTTTCCCTATTAAAACTCGAATTTCACGTATCTATAAATTCTTCCGTCAATTTAACAGTTTCCGGATTTTTTTTATTGTTTTCAGTTACGTGTGCAATATAAAGAGCAATTTTATGACAAAATAAAATTGCGTCACTCCTTTTAATGGGGCAGGTTTTAGAATTCCCATCTACTATCGTAAATCTTGCATTTTTACAGAAAAAAAAAAATGTTTTTCACCTAACTTATATGATGAGACTGTATGAAAAAATGTTATATGGATTTTCTTTTGGAATTTTGATGTGAAATATATGGAAATTTTAAGATATTTTTCATACCTTCTTGAAATTGTATATATCCTTTTATTTTGCGACAACAAAGGTAAACGTAAAATCATGTATAAACTTGAGGAAATGTTTTGCCAGTTGTGCGAAGAGACATTGTTTATGAGCATTTGAGCAACTGTTGGTTTTACGCGGGAATTTCTCTCTCGTCGTAATTAGAATTTGTCATGTACACGTGATGCTTCGTGTTGTATTTTCAACAGTTCTATTTCTTGTTGTATAGAGAAAATAAAGACTTTATAGCTTTGTAGATAAAATTTCTTATAGTGATCTTGAAAAAATATATATATGTAATATTTCTAATTATGTTATTAAATTATAATAGTTGTAAGTGAAACAATGAAGAAAAATAATAATTTTTTTTTATTTAAATTTTTATGGAAATATAAAAATTAAGAATACATCAAAAAATATTGTATAAATTTTCTTTGTGACAGGAGAAAAAAATTATTGAATTCAAATAGGAGTAAAAATTTCTGAAACCTGCCATCTAAAACTGAAAAAAAATTATTTTTTGTTGAAATGTTATTTTTCTTATAGTATTTTATATCCACAATCACTTCCTAAAACGATTTTGCAAAAAAAAAATTTTCATTCTGTACACATAAAGGAACATATTCACAAGATTTCAATAAAATTGCTCCAATCATCAAAAATTCTTGTTATCACATCCCATGGAATTGCTCAAATATAAGATTAAAGCACTGTTTGAGAAAATCATACTCTAAAAAGAAATTGTGGTGAAAAGTTATTTCTGGAATTTTTAGATTTGTCAATTTCATACTTATTTTGAATTTTTTAAAATATTTTAGTATTTAATTTATTATTATATAATTAAAATCAATATAGATCAATACAAATTATTCGTACAACAAATAGAATTTTCAAAGAATTTAACCACTGTTCCATCTTTTCTTTTATCCATCATATTCTATTATTGCAGAAATGCCTTTAAAAAATTCTGAAACTTTCTGACATTTGAAATTTCGGATAAATGACTTTTCGAACAAACGCCATTTTATCTAAGTTACATTAAAATTTAAATTCCAATAGAAACTGAGTAGCTCGGAAACAAATTTCGGAATGACTCGGAATAATACTTATTAAAACTGATTAAAATTTAATTCGAAACTTTTTTTCAGTGTTATCAAAATGGAACAGACGCAATTTTTATTTTGTAAATAAGAAAAAGGGGAAAATATTGTGAAATAACGAATAATTTTGCACAAAGGGGTAAAATATAACAATTACCAGACGTAAATAACATGCTAAACTTTTAACTTAATGTATTTGATTGAAAACTTTACTTGTAATCACGTGAAACATGTTTTTAGGTTAGAAAAATGAAAACATGTGTCTTGAAAGCAGGAACGGTACTGCCAACTTAAATAATAGCGCTAAATTTAAAAACTTATGAAATTAATTATTATTTTAATAAATTTATAAATATAAAATAATTAATTATGTCAATAAATAATAATTAATATTTTTTACATAAAAAATTATTAAAAGTATATTCGTAATGTTAAAAGAAAATCTTTTTAAAAGTATTAAAAAAAATAATTGTAATTCAAAATCACTTTGCAAATGATGCTAACCTAGAAATTTAAAATTTTGGCCCAAAATTAAATTATTTCTTAATCGATTATAAATTATTTGACCCACTTTTTTTCCTTGCAGATGATGAAAATGCTGTGGTGCAAGGACTTGTGACAGATGACGGGCTTTTTGACGGTACGATAGTGACAGGTTTCGAAGAGTACTATATCGAACCAACAAGCCGATATTTGTCCGGAGATGACGACACATCACCCCCTTACCACACCATAGCATATCGTGCTTCCGACGTTATGACGCCATCACATCCACTTCCTTGTGCCAGTCACGATCTACATCAAGGCATCCTAAGCGAGTCCTTAGATCGGTAAACTATATTTTCCCTCTCTTTTTTATTATAATAGATACGGAAAAAGTCAGTTACAAGCATTTCCTTCTTCTTTTCTCAATCTCCAATTATCGATCTATTATTTTTTAATTACATATTGAATATTTAATTAATAGAAAAAGAAGAAAAATTAATATATTTCTAAATACTTGTCAAAAAAAAAATTTATATATCACTCACGGAAAGAAAATAAATATCATATTTTATAAAAATATTTTTAAGTCGCAAAAAAATTTTGTAAAAAAGCGAAATTTTGATATTGTGCAAGAAATATTAGTCTTTAAAAAACTTATAAGAAAATTTACAATAGTTATATTTAAATTTGGTAAAACGTTAGTAGTCGAATCATGAATAAATGATATACTAAACTTTATTAAATCCTGTATTATTAAGTTTATATAAGTTTTTCTAAAGTTTAGAATTATTTCAAAATAAAAATTTCGCTTTTTTACTATATATTTTCTGCGACTTAAAATTATACTTTTATAAAATTTAATAATTATTACCTCTTCTTGCAGAAGAGCCACAAAGCCATTTCTCAGCCACAAATGTATCAAAATTTTTTAGAAAGATTAACGCATTTTTTAAAAAATTTTAATCATTATTTTCTATTTTTTTATCAGATTGTAGTTTTAATAATTTAAAAAATGTAATTTAATTTTAACAGAAAAAATTAGTTCAGTGAATTTTACATAACTTTTTTTTTTTAAGGAATCCTTTTATCTTAAACAGATTTTCCATTTAATGTTTGTTTAAGAGGATTACATTTGATGATAAAAGGAAAGTCCTTTAAATTATATCCTTTAATTATTAAAAGAATTTACTTTACTATTAACCCCTTCACAGTCCAGTGAAAATAAAGTTTTCGTGCCATAAATTTTCAAAAAAATTAAAAAAAAAAAAACATTATATTGTATGTTTTTAGGGTTGCTGAATCCGAATTTTTGGTCGAAAATGAAATTCAAAATTGTGGCTACAAAATGTCGACCAAAAAAATTTAAAAGTTAACGAATCTAGCTGAAAATTATTAATTTTTTGGTCGCCATTTTATAGCTGACACTTTGAATTTTTTATTTTCGACCAAAAATTCGGATTCAGAGACCCCAAAAACCTCCAAGTATCCATTTTTATCCAGATTCGTTATCTTATAATTTTTTTAGTCGCCATTTTGAAGCCGCCATTTTGAATTTTTTATTTTCGACCAAAGATTTGGATTCATCGACTTCCTTTTTTTTCATAGTTCTGAATAACCAATCATAAGATTGATTTTAAAAATTTTTAATTTTTTCAAACAAACATATTTTAATATATAATTTTTTTAATTTATAAATTCTTTTGCAATTAATTATTTAATTAACTGTTCTTGTTAAATATTTTAACTGAATTTTAATAATAATTATATTTTTATAAATTTCTTTAAATATATAAATAATATTGTTTACTTGAGTTAAAACAATTGTGTCGTTACGTTCAATGTCAATTAAATGTGCGCAATGGAGGCAATAAAACAGTTTAATAGTTGAGATTTAATGTTCGTTTCAGGGCATTAAATGTTACCAATGAAGCATCACAGCCATACTATGAACATTTATTAGATAATGAAATTCGATTGAATGGAGGGTTTTATTCAAAGGAAGAAAAATTGAAAACCGTGAAAACAGAGGAGAATTACGACTTAAAATACATGGACAGGTAACTAAAATATTCATTGTATATAGATTTAAAAGTTTTACACAAAAAAAAAAGAAAAAATTGAGAGAGAACTAAATTTCCATTAAGATTTAAATTTTTTATTTCAACGACAATAATTTATAACAATATTATATGTATAGAAGACAGTCTAGTCAGATCAAGTTATTTAAAATTCAGTCAATTTTACTTTAGTTTAGTTCAAATAGAAATTTTTTAATTTGAAGCAATTCTTTTTATACAAATATTCAAAATCAGTTTCCCAAACAAAATTAATAGTTAATTAAGTTAATTGTTTTCAAACCAATTAGTGAAAACCATTTTAGTGAGACTTAATTTTTCAATTTTGAAAATATAGCAAAAACAGAATAAATAACAATAACTTTTTTGGTTCTTGAAAATCCTTGAATTTTATAACAAAACCTTGAATTTTATTGAAAAAAATTATTTTAGACCTTAAAAAATTGGTCAAGTACAAGTTACACTCGCTTACCTAGGGTTCCGTTCACGATTATTAAAATTTTAATATTTAAATATTAATATTTCAAAAGGGTTAGCTATATTTTTCGTGAAGTCTACACATAAAATTAAATATATGTACCAAGTTTCAGCTTCTTAGCTCCAAAACTGTAAAAATTGAAGCGGGGAAGGATACGTTTTTTCCGAAATTTCGAATTTTTATTACAAAACTATATTAAATTCAATTCCAATCGGGTTCGCAATAATTTTGAATAGAAACCTAAAAATTAGCAACAAACTCAATTTTTCTTAGACAGACAATTTAATTACAAATTCTGGCACAAAATACAATTAAAAGTGTAGAAAAAAATTGACCCTCCAATACAAGTAGGGGAAGATTCCTATTACCACCCTTATGGATTCTCCCTGGCAATATAAGGAAATGACACAGACTTACCAAAATTTTGACAGTTTGTTCATTAGATTGATTTAGGAAGTTATGATTTTTTTCAGAATTTTTTACCACGTAGTTTTTTAGAAAAAAAATAAAATATATGACCAATTTAACATGGGCTCTTATGGGAACGTGTATAAACCATAGGAAAAAAGTGTGATGGAAATGAAACAAAAATCTGAAAGTTGGTATACAGGAAGAAAATATGATAAATTTATTAACTGCACAATATAAAGAAAGTTTACCACATAGTTTTTGAGTAAATAAATAATAAAGTTTGATTTTTTGTCATAATAATAATAGTAAGTGTAGTAGCAGACATGAAAACGTGGCAACGTCACAACACGTGTTTGGCACGTTTGCGCAGCAACTCGCCGCGAATTTCAAATGCAAGTCGACAAATTGATAGATATTTATTTATATTATTTTTAGAAAATAATGGATTAAACTGCAATTTAATATATTATATAAATTTAATTCTGATTAATTATTGGAAAACAAAAAGAGTGATAAAAATACACGTACATAACCTCAAATTATAATTAAATATTTTTGTCAAAATAAAATATAGTTCAAAACTACTACAATCACAGTTTTATTTAATTGGATATTTCTTTACTAATTATCATGTAAATTGAAATAAAGTATAATAAATAAACTATTTATATTTTCCATTATATTTTCAAATTTTGAGGTGAACGACTTATTATATTACAAATTTCTTATAAGTAAATAATCTTATTTTCATTTCAATTTTAAGTGTTTTATGGAAGTTCAACAATTAAATAATAACATATAACAAAAAATTTGAGGTTAGCGACGAGAATGCTACGTTGCCCTGATTTCAAGCACTTTTTAAAAAATTTAATTAAATAGAATTTCTAATATTTTAGTAACGAGGAAAGCTTATTATTAATTTATACACCTTTTTCTAAACAATTCTCCTATCAATAAGGACAAGAACCTTACTTATCAAATAAAAATTTATTTGTTCTAAGGTTGCAAACTTGTGAGCCTTCACACGGGAAGAATAGAAACTATCCCCTAACTCCGCACCACCCCCTGGAGAATCCTTAAGGCAACTTCTATCATAAAAGAATTCCCAAAAAATTCAATTTTTCTTAGACAGACAATTTCATTGCAAATTCTTGCACAAAATACATTTAAAAGTGTAGAAAAAAATTGACACCGCGATTTAAGTAGGGGAAGACCCGTATTGCCACCTTTAAGGCCAGGTCCAAGTGAGGCAGCGCCATCTACATTGATACTAAAATTTTGGAAAATTTTCAACAGCTTTTTCTTGAAAACAAGAAGGTAAAATGCTTTTTCCTTTATGGATAATTTTGATTATTGGCAAGATATACACCAGCTAAAACTTTTTTTGAGTTAAAATAATAAAAAAAATTTCATGTCAATAAATTAAATATGAGCACTTTTTTCACAAAAACTGTAACAGTACTTTCTCAAAAATTACAATCAAAAATGCAATTTCCATTTGGAAAATTAATAAACGCTAAAAAATACACGACCTAAGATTTACCAATCACGAAAATAACGAAAAAAAGTATTTTAACATAACATATTTTACTCATTATGACAGCCGTTTGGCAGGTTATATATGTCACCAGACGTTTCGCAGTTTTGCCGAAAGGAGGAGATTGGCGCTGTTGCTAACCACCTGAAATACATAATCTACCAAAGGGCTGTCACAATCAGTAAAGCAGTATCAATATGTTAAATATTTAATAAAATTTTTTTTTGTTATTTTCGTGATTTGTAAATCTTAGGTCGTGTATTTTTTAGCGTTTATTAATTTTCCAAATGGAAATTGCATTTTTGATTGTAATTTCTGAGAAAGTACTGTTACAGTTTTTGTGAAAAAAGTGCTCATATTTAATTTATTGACATGAAATTTTTTTTATTATTTTAACTCAAAAAAAGTTTTAGCTGGTGTATATCTTGCCAATAATCAATTATCCATAACGGAAAAAGCATTTTACCATCTTGTTTTCAAGAAAAGGCTGTTGAAAATTTTCCAAAATTTTAGTATCAATGTAGATGGCGCTGCCTCACTTGGACCTGGCTTTAAGGCATCTTCTATCATAAAAACTAATCATAGCTCCAAAACTGTGAAACTTAAGGGGTGTGGCACACTTTTTTCCGAAATTTCGAGTTTTTGGACTATAACTATATTAAATTCAATTCCAATCGGGTTCGCTATAATTTTCCTTTAATCTACTCGCAAATATACGTATGCATGTATACGAAGTTTGAGCCCAATCGGTTGAAATGGCTAGATTTTAGAGGGGGGGGGGCAGGATTTTGTGGACGAACATGAGTGAAACCATAAGGGTTCCATTTCGGTTTACTGCGTGAACGGAACCCTAAAAACTTTGAATTTTTTTTCAAGAATCGCTGAAAACCCTGATGGTTTTAAAAAATTTTACATCTAATAATAGTTTATAATTCTTATATTTTTTATTTTATTTTTATTTATATGGGCATTAGGTATTTGGTAAATTGTTTTTTATTTATTTTAATTATTTTTGTACATTGTGTCCTTTGTATAATTTTTGTACTTTTTTTTTTATCTATTTTGCTAATTTACTTTTGTATTTTCGTTTTTAAAATTTTGTTTTTATTCTTGTTCTAATTTATATTTTTTATTATATTCTTTAAATTTGTCTTTATTTTAATTTATTTATATTGTTTCAATGTTAATTTATTTTTTCTTGTTAATTTTCGTCTCGTATATTAATTTAATTTCTTTGTATTTTTGTTTGTTGTTTTTATTAATTTTTATAATTTTATTTATTCGTCAAATTCACTGAAGAGAAAATCAGTGTAATTTCGAAACGTTGGAAAAAATGTTATTAAAATCCATTTGTCCGAATTTTATCGTTTTGTTATTTAACGTATTCTAATATATGTATATTCTACTCGGGCGTTAATGATTTTGATAGTTAATTAATTAATGACCAATTTATGCTTGATATTTTATGGGTTAATAGTATTTAATTTAATTTTTTTTTTATGTCTTATTTTGAAAAACGCTTTATTATTGTTGTTTAAATTTATATAGATTAGACAGAGAGAGATTTGTCAGACATTTGAACAAACGTGCAACAGTGGATCCACGGAAAACTACATGTATGCTTTATCTGCAAGCTGATCATCAGTTCTTCGCTCGATATGGCACGGAGGAAGCTTGCATTGAAGTTATGACTAGGCACGTGCAGAGGGTCAACTCGATTTACAAACACACAGGTAAGCTCTTTATGTGACAAACATTAAATGCGTTTAATGACTCTGTCCACCATAATAAAATTTATTGTTCTCGCGCGATAATTTATATGCGAAAGAGATTTTTTTTTAATCATATAAAACGTTATATAGTTATTATTTTTTTAAAACTCTTTTAAAAAAAAAATCAGACAAATTTTTTACCTATAAAGTTGATTAAAAAGAAAAACTTTGCGAATTAAAAAAAAAAAAAAAATGGTGAAAAACTTTATACATAATAATATACGAAAAGTTCTTTAAATCGACTTTATATTTGTTTGTGAAAAAAATGAAAATTGCGATGAAATTTTAATCTGTGCTTCGCACTATATGTATGACGACGCGAGTGCAGCATTAAGCTTTACTTTTTTGCATAATGAAACACTTGAAAAGAGTCTTCCGGCAAATCCGTTAAAAATAATTTTTAGAGCGTATGTATTTTTCATATTTTCCATGTCATTTGTTATAATAAAGTCGTTTGTGTTTCTTTTTGAGAAAAAAAAAGGTTTTTAGAAAATCACGTTTTAAAAAATGTTTTTTTGTCGTTTTATATTAATAAAAATTTAGTTCAATGCTTAAATTTCATATCTAATTTTTTCTGTGTTATACAAACATTAAAAACCTTTTTCTTTTTTGACAAAATGTCAGATCTTTCTGTTTAAGTTTACTTATTTTTTTTGTGTTTATGAAGTTTTGTTGGATTGTTTGCATTTATGTCTGAAACAAAGAAATATATGTATATAAAGAACGTGGACGCGTTCATGAATTTTCGAGTTGACAAGAAAGGAGAGTAGGAAATAGAAAGCAGAAATGGCTATAATGACATTTGCACTTTTCGCCCTCCCTTTTCTCATCTTTTTTTTTTTTTCTCTTTTTTACTCTGGTTTGCATTTGAATCCCTTTTCTCACAACGCGCGCTTCTTTAAACTTCTATCACTGCTTTTTACACTCGATCAAATTGACTTCGACGCTTGAATTTAAGTCCTTCGAAAATAGCGACACTGTGTGAGCACTGAACAGTGAGTCGAGGTATTTTCCATTCCCAAGGAAGGCTAACTAACAAAATACAACCTGTCGTGCTACGGCGTTTAATCGAGTTTCAAGTTCAATCAACACGGTTCACTTCGTTCGCTCTAGCTAATAGGATTTACTGAAAATATCTGACGATGATGACCATCGATTTTTTTCCAATTCAATTGTCCCTTCTCTGAAATAACTATAGTTTAATTTAATCACAAAAACTCATGAACGACATAATCTAAAACTGTCAGAGATTGTTTTTCATTCAAATTTTATAAATATATGGGTGATTCTCCACGTAGCGAACAACTTGCTTTTTTTCATGTTGTGAAAGAAAAATCACAAAAAAATATTCACATAATATTTCGATTCTAATGTAAAAAGGTAATTTCTGTGACTACAAACAAAAGCCAATAGTTATTTTTGTATTTAACATTATAATTTTTCGTGAAAAGTGGTTTTTAAGGCTGAAAACGTCAAAATTTCACCTGTCCCCACAGGATGTTTAAACAAAAAAGTTAATATTTTTAGCAATGTGCACTAATAAATACAATTTCTATTGCTATTTTAGTATTGTATATTGTAATGGAATTGAATAAAAAAAACTTTTGATCAAAAAAAAAATTATTTTCCTTTTTTTTTACTATTTATACTTGACTGCACTTTTGTGTGTTATTCTGCGTTTTATTATTAAACATTGAATTATTTAAATAAAAGTCAAATGTTAATATAGTTCTACTTCAGTAACAGCAAAAGTTATATTCTTTAAGTTGATCCATGAAGGAAGTAATCAATTTTCTAATTGACTTATCCTTTTTTACACTTTTTAAGATTCAAATTTGTACAGGGCATCACAAAATCGTCTCCACCGGCGTCCACCGACCCTTCAATATTATTTAAAAAAATAGAATATAATTAAATAATAAAGGTTAAATAAAGTGTAGTTATATTATTTTAGTCTATATATATGTGAAACATATGAAACCGATTAAAAATAAATGATAATTTTCTCAAAAAAAAAAAAAAAAAAAATTATTAACATCAGTTCCACCGGTTCGACCGACCCCAGCGTCTCCACCCGTCACAAAATTTCGACCGTCACTAGTCCAAGTTTAATACACAATGAAACAAACGAAATTAAAAATATTTATTATAAACTATCATAGCTCCGGTAAGTTTACTATAACTTACCAAATAAATTGTCGTTCGCGCTAAATATATTTTTGTAAATTACCACGAAATTTTTCATAAATTACCGAAATTAAAATCTTTAATTGCGATTTATGGTTTACATATTTTTATGAATTATAGCCAAAATTTCTATAAATTACCATATAAATTTCCATAAATTACTGAAATAAAATTTTTAATTGTCGTTCGCGCTATATATGTTTTTGTAAATTACCGCGGAAATTTCCGTAAATTACAGAAATAATAGTTTTTAATTGTGATTTATGCTTTACATATTTTTATGAATTTTAGACAAAATTTCTATAAATTACCGCATAAATTTCCATAAATTACCTCGAAAATTTCCGTAAATTACCGAAATAAAAATTTTTAATTGTCGTTCGCGCTATATATATTTTTATGAATTACCCCAAAAATTCCCATTAACATTTTAAATCAAATTTCAACTATTTTATAGAATTCAACAAGCAAAGAATTTTTTTTTAATTTGTTTAAAAAAAATTAAAAAATTATACAAAATTTTTCCGGCCCACCATGGATATTTATTTCTTGACACTTTATCTTCAAAAATATGTATTGATATTTATCATTTCGATAAAAAAATATTTTTAAAGTTTCAGACACCAAATCGTGCGCTACACGGAGAATCACCCATATATATATATATATACAATTATACATATATGGACAATTCCACGTGAAATTTACCTATGACATTTTAAATTCGGATAAATGTATTTATTTTCGTTCTTTGAAAAAAAATTTCAATGACATTTAACTCTAAAATTATTGAATTTAGGACTTTTTGACAAGGGAAAAAAAAGTTTCAGTTATTCAACGACTTTCGAAATTACCTTACAAAATAAAAAAAAATTTATTGTAAACTTTTTTTTCTTTTTACCAACTGGAAAAGAAGTTATAAATATTTTTTATGCAAAAATGTTATAAATTTTTTAATTAATTTGAATAATAAATTTTTTGTTTTTAATTTTTCAACGCATTTTCACTGTTTTTAACTTGGAAACAAATCATAAATAAATATTTAAATTATAATAAATTTATAGCGTACTTTTCAATGGAGGCTTAATTTTTTATTATCTACTGAAATAAATGAATTAAAAATTTATATTTTTTCCACAATATGCTTTTTTTAAAAGTTTAACAGTTTTTGCAGGAAAAAAAATTACATAATTCTTTTTCTCTATTGCTATGGGGAAAATAGTTATAAATAAAAATATATTTAGTACCAATTTTATAGGCTTTAGAATCATAAAAAATATAAATACAATATGTTAACCAAATGATCAATTTAAAGCAAACATGAATTCTTAAAAAATATAATGATTTCATTATTTAAATGATTTTATAATTTGTAATAAATTTAATATTTGTTATAATATTTGTAATGTTCAACACTAAAACTTTATTTCATTTTAATACATTTATTTGACGCAATAGTCAAGTAAAATCAATCATTTGTATCAAATAAATTTTTTCAGTATTATAATACGTCATTATAATATAATTTAATTTTAATGCACGTTGGAGACAGTTAATTAATTATTCAACACAAAAATAACCGGATTTTCAGTCAAAAGAATTAGAGCCCATTGATAAAGTCATACCATATGTAATTTACATTTTCGTTTGCAAAATTAAACAAAAGTACCTATAGAAAAATATTCTTGTTAACGCTAACATTCGAATTTTGATTTCGATTTGTAGTCAAAATTAAATCCAATGACGACAAATCTATTTATAATTACCGTTAAATTTTAAATAATGGCATATAAATAGACTTATCATCTACTTGAGGCATTTCATATGAGAATACGGGGTCATGTCTCAGATTTTTCTCAAAATTCGGTAAATTGTAGTAATAGTGGTGCTAAATAAGTGTACAAATTTTGAATTTGAAATTTTTAATATTTTTCGAGATATTTACAATAACAAATTTGAGCAATATTTTTTTGCTTTACTTATAACTTTTTTCCTATTAAAAATAGAGAAAAATGTTGTAAATGTTTTTTACGCGGAAGATCTTAAACTTTTAGAAAAAAATTATTTTTTTAAAAAAATATTAAATTTTAAACAATTTGTTTAAAAAATAAAATTTGTTTCTAACTTTTAAACATGTTCTCTCTCATTTAGTAGCGCGAAAAAAATCATGAATATTGTTTAAGTCATAATAAATTGATGGTTAAATTTTTGAGATGGCATTATTTTTTGTTTTCGAGATATTAATTAATTAACTAACAAAAGTTAATAAAAAATGAAATATTTTACGAACAAATAAAATTAGAGTAATTTTAAAAACGCCATTAGAATGCTTATCAAAATCCGCATCCAACGAGCCCTATATGAACTATTTTGGAATTATTAATTTAACACCCGTTGATTAGAAATAGTTCATATAGGGCTCGTTGGATGCGGATTTTGATAAGCATTCTAATGGTGTTTTTCAAATTACTCTAATTTTATTCGTTCGTATAATATTTCATTTTTTATTAACTTTTGTTAATTAATTAATTAATATCTCGAAAACAAAAAATAATGCCATCTCAAAAATGTAACCATCAATTTATTATGACTTAAACAATATTCATGGTTTTTTTCGCGCTACTAAATGAGAGAGAACAGGTTTAAAAGTTATAAACAAATTTTATTTTTTAAACAAATTGTTTAAAAATTAATATTTTTTTAAAAAAGTAATTTTTTTCTAAAAGTTTAAGATCTTTCGCGTAAAAAACATTTACAACATTTTTCTCTATTTTTAATAGGAAAAAAGTTATAAGTAAAGCAAAAAAATATTGCTCAAATTTGTTATTATAAATATCTCGAAAAATTTAAAAAATTTCAAATTCAAAATTTGTACACTTATTTAGCACCACTATCACTACAATTTACCGAATTTTGAGAAAAATCCGAGACATGACCCCGTATTCTCATATGAAATGCCTCACTTATTGAAATTTGAATTTTATTCTGATTGCATTTCACACAATAATCATAATAAAGTTATTTAAATGAAAGAAAATTATTTAATTAATTATTAATTACTAATAGGTATTACTTAAAAAAAATTGAATAAAGTTTACGACTATAGAAAATGTTTCACTGAAAATGAGTAAAATAACCTCCACAGTACCGAAACTTTTTAAAAAAGATTTCCTAAAGATTTATTTAAAATGTTGAATTGTATTTAAAAACTTAATTTATAAGATCGAATTTTTGAAGTAGAGGCTGAGAATAAATGTTCAATTTCAGGATATACATTTTTTTTATAAAGTTTTATATTTAAGAGTTTAAAATATATGAGTGTATAATTTTCACGCGGGGTTAATTAACAACTTTTTCCTCTCATATAAATATGGGGAGAAAAGTTCATATCTCGCGATGATTGCGTAAGTAACGAGAAATATTCGCATTTATATAGATCAATCAACTTTTTCTAAGGGCGCAAACATATAGTACACCTAGTTCGCGTTGAAAGTGTCGACGAACGATATGGAAATCGAACGAAGCAATTAGTGAAATAAGCTCTTTTTTCAAAAGAGAAATGACATATTTTTTGATTAGTAGACATGAGGGGAAACATCCAACTAACGAGTTTAATGCGTCGCGCGCTTTCAATTCTGTCCCTTCTTCACTTTCTCCTTCTTCCCTTACAAAAGTTTTCCCTCACTAACATTTAAAGCTCTTTTCAAATGTTTAAAAGTTTTCTAACATTTCTGTTCCTACAAACACGATGATTAAGTGCCTTCTTCCAAAAGTTTCGAGATTTCTTTAAGGCTCCATATTTCTCTCAATTCTTAGGGTTTTTGATAGAGAAAAAAAAAAAAAAAAAAAAAAAAAAAAAATTCGCCGACTCATGATGATCTACAAACGCGCCATTAATGACGAAAGTTGAAACAAGTCAATTAGTGACCGAGGTATACATAAATTATACGTGTTTAAATAATAACGAGTAATAATTTAAATTTTAGTTTTTTGAATATTAAAAAGCTACACTGAAAAAACAAATTATTATTTAGTTCAATTAATTTAAATTATTTGAAAAATATTTACTTGAATTAAATATTTTTTATTTTCATCTTAAAAAATATATATTTGATTGTGATTGAAATGACTTCAATTATTTGCATTACGCTTATTTATACTATAAATAAATTTTAATTCACTGAAATATTTGTTATTTGATGCAATTAAAAATTATTTGACACAATAATTTTATTTTATTGATTCAAGTAAACTAAATTATTTCATGACAAAAAATAAAAAATATTTAGATCAATTAAATTATTGATTTTAACAATTATTATTATTTCCAACAGTTTTTAATTAATTTCACTAAAATATTTAATTAATAATAATAAATTTTTTCGTGACATTTTAAATGAATTGAAAGACGTTTAATTGAATAAAGTAATTTTTATTCAAGTCAAATATAGATTTATTTGAATCAAAAAAATCTTTTCTTTAATACAAATAAATTTTGTCTTTGAGCTACTCATTTTGAATAATCAAATACTTGGTTAAAGAAATTTTTTTAATTATTTCAAAATAATAATTGTATTCAAATAAATATTTATTTGAATTAAGAAACACATTAAGTATTGAATAAAATAATTTTCAAAATTTTTTAATTTAAAGCATTATTTATTTGATACAATTATTATATTTATTTGATGTAATTTAAATTTGATCCAAATTACTATTTATTAGATACGATAAAATAAAATATTTAGGTATTTATTAGGTTCAAATAAATATTTAATGGATAATAGACAAGTAAATTGTTTATTTGGTTTAAATAATTTTTATGTCATCCAGATATTTTTTAATTGATCCAAATAATTTTTTTTTTAGTGTAAATAGTTAAAAGTGTATAAAATTTTTCAGTTTTCAAAGATTTAATTTTCTAAAAAAAAAAAAATGTCAAACTAGGTACTTCTATGTATAATGAAATAGTTCTTAAAATCGTTATGTATAATTGAAGTATATGGCCCCTTAATAAAGATAACGAAATAAATTTTAGGAGATATGAAAATATACAAATACAGATTTTTATTCACATATAAGACAAAGGAACATTTGTCATTCTCTTAAAAATTTTTATTGTAAATTGCCTGCAGGCTTATAAGAAAGTATAGAGACATAATAAAATGATAAGGTTATAGATGGCAAAATGGAAATGTCAAGACATTATAGGATAATGTCTTTAACTTCGTCCGAATAAAATCTAACATTTGAGATTGTTCTCGAGACGTTTAACAGATTATTTCTAAGATAATTTTCCACATTATATGTAAACAATTCAAATGTTAATTGTGTAGACAGAAAATCTTATTATTTTTTATGCCAAAAAATGTGTTATTTAAACATTGTCTTTTTTAGAGGAAACAAAAAAAATTTATATATTTTTATGTTTATTATATTATTACATTAAATATGATTATTTTATAAATCACTAAAGTATACTTGTGATAAAATAAATATACAAACAAATATATTATTAGAAAGTTTCATATATAAATTAGTTTTTAAATTCAATAATTAGTATTTAATTTATTGATTTTTTATTCTCAAAATTAAAAATTTAATAATCTACTAATATAATAATAATAAAAAGGGATCTTCAATTTAATAAAAGCACTAATTAGTTTATCGATTTTCCAATTATTTTAATAATTCTATTGAAAGCATCCAGTAATTAATTTATTATATCAGTCAACAAAGCATTTAATTCTCGCTGTATATCCTCGTTCAGAATATGATTGCATTTAAAAATGTCAAACACTGACTGTAAGCAACATTTAATAAGAAAATATTAATAAGTATGAATTTTTTGATATATTTTTTTTATATAAAATTATAATACAAATAAAAATATAAACAAAATATTGACAACATTAATTGAGTAAAAAAAACACTTAAGAAAAAATAAACAAAAATGTAAAAATATTAATATAAAAGATAAAAAATATCAATAAATTGTTTATTAATTAAAATTCTCAATTTCAGATTTCAATCAGGATGGAAGGCCCGACAATATCAGTTTCATGATCAAAAGGGTGAAAGTTCACAGTGGAGATGCTTTGAAAGACCCAAATTACAGATTTCCAGGAAACTATGGCGTTGAGAAATACTTGGAATTGTTTTCCGGTTAGTCAAATTCTTCATTTATAAAATAATATTAACCTTTTGCATTGTGTAATTGAAATAGTTGATTATTTAAATTAATTAACTACTAAAAAGCCTATATATATATATATAAAATATAAAGAGAATGGAATTCAAAGGCTTTCAGTATTCAGAGCGAAACAAGCAGCTAAAATTCAAATCCTCCCTTTGTTCTTCAAACTTTGTCGGGTCATAAATAGACCGCTAATTTTGTGATAATGTAAATTTTCATTTACAGTGCATTATAATATTGAATTAACCTTTACCGAGAATAATATATATATATATGGTTTCAAATTTTATTACTTTAATTAAAGAATTTACATTTGCTTAACATTTTAATATTTTATATATTATTCAATTGTTAAAAAATGTATTTGTATTCAAAAACAATATTTTTTTTTATATAGGAAATTAAAAAAAGAATAAGAAAATTAAATTTGCGGTTATTTTACTATTATTTTCGTAATTAATACATCAAAATACATAAATATACATACGTAGTATTAAAAAACTCGGAAGTATATTTAAAAAAATGCAAAACTTCAAAAATTTTTTAAAACTTTCGAAAAATTAAAAATATTATTTTCTTACGATGGGACCCGGCCCAAAATTTTTATAATAGAAAGTAGTATTTTTGAAAAATTTTCAAAAAAACTCGAATGATACAAAGTTTCAAAAGTAGGATTTTAATCTTTAAATTGCAAAAACTCTAGTAAATTATTTTTCGGTTATTTTTTTAATCAAATTTTCGAAAAATTCACCAAAAACACACGCAATTTCAGAAAAAAAAACTTTTATAATTGATGCATTTTTTAAAGAAAGTTATAAGCATTCAAAAAATATCTTTAAAAATCTAAAATTTTAAAAAATTTATATTTCGTAAACGAAGTGTTAAAAAATTTCGAAAAAATGATGAAACCCTTTTTCATAGGGTACAAAAAATTTTTTTAAATATTAGCCAAATCGAAAAATATAAAATATTTTCATCAAAGACTTTACTTTGTTTCTAAAAATAAATTTAAATAATAAACATTATTTTTCTTTTTTCGTCAAAATATATGAAATTCAAATTTTGAATTACACTTTTTTGAGAGAAAAAATATATGTATAAAAATCAAATTTCATATATATATAATAATGCCTATACCTATAATAAAGATTTATTTATTATATAATTTTTTGAAATTTTCTAAAAACTTTAGATTTGAAAAAAAATTTGAAATATAAACTACATCTAGTTTGACAAAAGGACCATAATAGCAACGGCCACTTTAAAACTTTTGATACCATGTTTCACAAAGTTAAAGGGTGCTTTAAATTACTGCGTGCTGTGTCATGTACGTCGCCGGAAAGCGGAAATTGCTTTAGTGCTTTAAACTTTAAGCCGACTTTCGTTTTGAAACTCTATTTTTACTTCTTTAAAGTAAGAAGTCAGATTCAAATGAGCTTAAATTTGGAAAAACTTTTCCAACTATTTTATGTTAAATCAATTTTATATTTTTTGAAAAAAAATTTCTGGTTTCAATTTAATAAATATAACTTTAAAAATAAATTTTTCAAATATTTTTAATATTTTTATTAGGAATTTTTGTTTCAATATCTATATGAAAATGAGAAATTGCAACATTTCTCATATATAAGTGGAAATTTTTAGAATATTTCTAATTATATATTTTTTTTACAGTCTCTGAAATTCTTTCACATTTAATTATATCGCCCTATAAAAACGGCACTGAACGTGAAAATAATAAACATTGATTTTAAAATACTTTTTTCTCGAAACACGGACACTTTTTTCAAAATTGGCCAAAATACCAAGAATCCTTATCTTATTAATTTCTTAAATCCGAAAGATTGTACAAATCTATACAAAAACGCGATTGTAAAATAAAAAGTAGGAAAGTAATAATTATAATGACAGCTGTGACGTTGTGCTCGCTGCATGCTTAGCTGCCACCTGACGGCTGCAGAACGTAATAAAGCTATCTTTATATTACTTTCATACTTTTCATTTTACAATCGCGCAACTGGTCGATATATGATCACTTTTGGATCATTCGTCGACGATTGTAAATTATTATTGTGTATGAGAACGAAATTTTTGTGTAAAATCGACGTACAATTAATGTGGACTGGCAAAACAAATTTCTTAATTGTTCGAAGTGGATATTTATAATTAAACGACAAAACTGTGAGTAGATTTTTGTAATAAATCTCTCAATCAACACTCTTTTGAATAATTTAAAAGAGGTTCACCCATTTTAATCTTCTTTCGAGATTTCTTTTGCTTGCCGAGTAAATTATATATTTTTATTTATTAATTTTTATTATAAATATGTCGACATCCTGTGGATAGGCGCTCAGAACATTAATAATATCAATTATTTTATGGATTTGTATCCCATTAATTATTAAAAATTTTAGGCTTTTAAAGATTTTTTCTTCTTGAATGCACTAAATTGTCTTAAAAATGTATCAATTAAATTTTTTTTTTAATATTGCATTTTTAAGTGAATTTTTCAAAAATTTGAGCAAAAAAATCATGGAACCCTTTTTATTTAATCACGTGTAACTTCAGTTAAAAATTAATTAAGAAGCTGCAATTATTTATTAAAAAATTTTATGTATTTATGTATACATAAAAATCACATTAACCCTGTTATTGAGATTTTATATATTATAGTGGAGAATCCAAACGTTCATTAAAATCTCTAATTAACGAGCACAAAAATATTCTACGTACAAAAATGTACAGAAATCGCCACATAGCACGACATTTTTCAGCAAGTTTGCATAGCAAACTTACAAACGTTGCATTGCAAATTTGCTGCAAACTTGCACCATGTATATAAATGTCCTATCTACTACAAGCTTGCCATGAAAAGTTGCAGAAAGTTAAACATGCTTACTTACTGTAAGTTTACATAAGAAAATTGCCCAAAATTTGCATAGTAATTTTATTGAAAATTTCTATGGTAAACTTGCTGAAATAAATTAGAAGAAATTTTGCAGGAACTTAACAGTAAGTTAACGATCATAAGTTAGGAAATTAACACTGTTATCTTCCCGTTAACTTCCCAGAAGTTTTAAATATCCTCAGAGTTTAAGTTAACACTGTTAACTTGCTGAAATTTATAAAGCTAAATTTGCCGAAAGTTTTTTTTTTAGTAAATTTTCATAAATTTTGCAAGAAGTTTTTTCTGATAAATTCAAAATTAAAAAAAAATATTTCAAAATGTATGTATAATTATTACATCTATAGCTTTTCTAAAGGGAAATGAAATTAAAAAGTATTACGCAGCCCTAGCTGCCATAGAATAAAACATCTGCGCATGAAAATAGATTTTTAAGTTTACCATAAAAATTTTGTGTAAAATTACAAAGGAAAACTTTCAGCAAATTTACTTTTCTAACTTTCAACAAGTTAACAATGTTAACTTAAACTCTGAGGATATTTTAAACTTTTGGGAAGTTAACAGCGTTAAATTTCAAACTTATCGCCGTTAACTTCCTGTAAAGTTCGGTGTTATCTGGGAATTAGTATAACTGTAATAGAGCTTAATACAGTAATTTTTCGGTAATAGAATAGAATATTATGAAGCAACACAGAAAAAAACTGAACTCAGAATGAATCGTGTAGGCGGCTCATTTTGATGTGCAACAAAAATAAACCAGGTTGGTGGCAAACTTGTAGGAGAGGACATTTACTTACATGGTGCAAGTTTGCAGCAAACTTGGTGAAAATTGTCGTACTATATGTGGGAACATGTAATATACATCTGATCTAATTAAAAGCAAGTTTAAAAATGACCTTTTTGGACAAAAATAGAGATTCTGGCCCATTGTGTAATGTCGTGAAACCCCTAATATACATATAATTTACATTTGTATATATACAATCGCATTTCATTTATTGAGTGGATGCGGGTCTTTAGTGGGAAAGGATGCTTTTTTATCCCCTTTGAAAAATAGCATTAGCGCAAAGAATTTTGGGGTCGAAGTCGCTCGTGTTTTCTCTTGTACAAATTGACTGACTGAAAAAGTGTGAAGTTCGCCGAGGTAAGGCTTTGAAAAGCTTTTGGGATCCACTTGAGCCTCTCAACTATGTTTTATATATATAAAGAGTAGGCGAATGGTAGAGGCGCACAGTCCTCAATGGGAAAAGAGACTTGTGTGTGCTTGTATTATGAACGTGATGGGAATTCCCTTGTAGCTGAAATAGAGAGTAGCCAGTTTCGCCGTTCACGGTCGAATCCCCAGTGGCAAACATTTCTCATTATTGACGGCTGACCCGGTCGTCGGGTATTATGGCGCTCACAAAACTTCCGAATGGAATAAGTTTCTTTCTTTGTAGCAGCCAGTATCGCGTTTACCTTCCTCCTCATTCCATTTCCCATGTATATAGCCCTCAAAACTTCAGTACACCCCTAAATTGAAGGATTTGCTGAACATTTTCATTTCCTGATGATAGATGCAAATCCATGCAAAATATCGAATAGCAAATATTTCGAGATTTCAAAAAGTTATATAGGTCATCGATATTTGCATTCTTATGGTTCGCTGCGGTTATTGTAAACAGATATGTATATGTATAAACGCATAGAAAATGTTCGGATTATTTAAGCGAAATCTCAGTTTCTTGATAATATTTGTACGGCAAATATTTTCGAAAACGAATATTTTCAAATATGGAAAATATTTGTTTTTTATATAATATAAGTTGAAAAGTTATTTGATCTAAATTGTGGAAGTTTTTTTCTGGTACATTACTATATCAGGTCAATTTGTTCAGTTTCTGTTAAATTTTATTTATAGTATACAATTTACGAAAGTTGAACAAAACTGTACCATTTTTATTTTTCATCTACTATACAGTAATAAGAAGAACGCATTTCAAAAGTATTCTTAATTTGATTTTGAAGACTATGTTTAAAAAATAAAAACTTCTTTAGATTTCAAGAAATAACAGATTGCCCCAATTAAAAATATAGTTTCTTAAAACATAGAATACTACAATTATTAAGAAAATCAAAAGAGAATACAATCAAAATTTCATCGATCAAATATTGTAAATTGACAGATTACTTTATTTATATATATACACTTGTGACTTTTGGGTTGTTATCATGAAAAACAAAAGCAGATCCCTTAATCATTTCAGTGGTTTCTGTTTTTCTCTTATCTTCTCCTCCTCTTTCAAAATTAATAGTCCACTCTCCAGTAACCATGTTACACCTAAATTTAATTACTTGATTCAGTGGCTAAATGCCAAAGCACTTGTAGCGTCTATACAATACCGTGCTTTCTTTTCAAGAACACAATTAAATCATAGATTATATTAAGACACTTTGTTAATAAACCACTTAATTGTATAATGAGTTTTCTCATAATTGTGAATTATGCACGGAAAAAAATTAATGACTGAACTTGAAATAAAATTCTCAATGTGGAAAAAATAGAAATACATCTAAATTCTTGAAGGATAACATTTTCCTCTATATACATCTATCTCCTACATACCCAGTGTGATACCTAGGGGATTTTGGGGAATTTCAAGTCTTTTGACTTCAGATATTTGACAGCATCTTTAGAACCTAACCTATAAATAGGTCATACTCAAATCTGTATGTTTCATATAATGGATTTTGGGATTTCTAATATCGTTTTCAGATAATTCTGCATTATTAATATTTTAATCAGACGTAACTCTAAATTTTAGTGTCAACCAATAATTTCTGTATTTGAAACAAATATCATTTAATAATGCGGCTTAAATAATAACTTTTACTTTCATTTTTACATTAAAATTTCAATGTGTAATATATTATTCCGTTTGATTGTACTTGTATTCGCATCGAAAATTTTTGAATCTTGCGCGATATTCTTTTATTTTTCATTTTTATATTTTTCCAGCAAGTTGATGAAAACTGTGACTTATTTTTCCATTCTCCTTCAAGAGTCAGACTGTTTCCTTTATGTTCGGTCGTAAAGTTCTGTTATTACAATCTCAACGGGTTACTCTCGTAACGAGTAATCCCTTGGAATTGAAGTAATCGCATTCACCAAGGAAAACTTTTTTTTCAGCCTAATGTAATAATGAAAAAAAAATTCAAAAGAGTTCAAAACTATTTTTTTATATTTAGAAACATTATTTTATTCTTCAAATATTTTGAGGATAATTTTTCCACAAATACATAATATAAGAGTCATTAAAGTATTACTCTCAAATTCCTCTATTAAAATTGGATTAAAATTGTATAAACTGAAAAAAAATTATTTAATCCAATTTTTAGATTAGATTAGATAGATAGAGATAGATTAGATTTTTTTTTAGATTTCTTCAATTTTGAAAGAATATGTTTTTCAATCTGTATAAAATTAATAATTATATTAATATTTTGTGTATTGTAGAATATGCAATAAAATTCTTATTGATGATAATGGAATAATTAATAAAAATTTATACAATTTAATTTAACGAAATTCCCCAAAAAAAAGATTATGTAGTCCATTACAGAGAGAGAGCAAGTTTCGCGTTTTATTAGAAGGATTCCACATTCAGGTGGTGTTTAATTAGTTCCGGTGCATTAAAATAATTAAATCGGTGCATAAAATTTCTCAACGAATGGCCACACCTTTTTTAGTATATATAAATATATCTTTATCATTGAAGTTGTATTATTGCGACGAACTGTATGTATATATAAACTATTACGTCATATATATTTGTTTACGTTCCAATGGTATTCAGCGCAATTGTGTAAAGACATTTTAACTTAGGAATTTAATTATTTCGATACTCTGAGACTGAAACCAATTAGAGATGGCTTTCATAGTGACGGTACCAGTAATAGCGGAGTACAGTAATGAGTCCTCTTTGTATAGTAAATATATTAATGCATGAAACATTCAACGTATGCCATTTATACTGTACACATTTCATGATTATACATTATTAATGTTTGTGGATACAAAATTTAATTTACTTCCTGGCTTAAATAAATCATCTTTTCTTGTAATTGCTGCATTATATATTAATAGTTAAAAATATTGTAATTGAATTATCCCAGTACGTAAAAAAGTTCTCGGGAAACACACTGAAAATTCTTGTTGAAAATTTCGACGAATTTTTTTCATATAAATTATCATAAAAACAACTTTTAAATATTACCAAATTTATCATATCACAGTTTTCTTGTGTGTATCAAATTGATACAAGAATTAAGATCAACTTATGCAACGTTTTGATTCGATATAAGGTATCAAATTGATCCAAATATTTGGATCATTTTTAAGAAATGATCCAGAATATGGGATCATTTTTTGATACCTGAATTGGTATCAAAGTATAACTGTCATGGCTGGCATGCTCTTATTGACAAGTTTATTAATTAATTTATTCACTGCACTGAATATTCAGATATTAAAAATACTTTTATTATGAATTTTAAGAAAGAGAGAAGCGAAAACTTATAAATTGCGAGCAATTAAATAAGAAAAAATTTATTTCGAAATAAAATGAAATACACTAACCTTTATTTATGTTTATCACATAAGATTTAAGTTAAGTTCACAATCACAACACTTGAAAATTTTTAATTATTTTTGTGGTTCAAATAATTATCAATAATTTATTTATTATAAATGAACAAAATTTAAGTAATGCACGCTTGATAAATATTTCTAATGCGTTGTCAATTAATGCAATTAATAATTTCCTATTACACAATATCATAATCGACATATATGACATTTGTAAACAAACAGGGTTGGGAAACAAGAGCCCAAAATATGTTCGTCCAAAGCAGAGTTGGGTAGGATTCTGTTTCACGTTTAAGGTTGACGCACATGTAATTTTGAAATAGGGAAAAACTGAATAATTATTTTTTAATAGTTTTGTTAAAAATAATTTTAACTGTAAAAATAATGAAAAAAATTCAAATGTTGCTATCTTTGTTCAGACAAATGAAAATTCTATTAATTAGAAATTCTGATAAGAGTGTGGAACGTTGTCTTGATCGAAAACATGAAAAACTATAATCTGTTTCACGTTTACCTCTTAATTGCAATGTTTTAACTAATGAAATTTAATGTTTAATGTTAAAATTAAATGTTAAATGTTAATTTAAATTTAATGTTTCAATCAATGAAACTTAACTATACTTTTATAAACAGGTTGAGAACCTTTTTGTGATAACTGAGCGCTCATAGCGAGAATTTGGAAAATGCATACACTTTCTGAAAATTATTGTTGGACATAATTTCAATTCTACCCAACTCTGCTTTGGACGAACATATTTTGGGCTCTTGTATACCAACCCTGTTTGTTTTGCAAATGTCATATATGTCGATTATGATATTGTGTAATAGGAAATTATTAATTGCATTAATTGACAACGCATTAGAAATATTTATCAAGCGTGCATTACTTAAATTTTGTTCATTTATAATAAATAAATTATTGATAATTATTTGAACCACAAAAATAATTAAAAATTTTCAAGTGTTGTGATTGTGAACTTAACTTAAATCTTATGTGATAAACATAAATAAAGGTTAGTGTATTTCATTTTATTTCGAAATAAATTTTTTTTTATTTAATTGTTCGCAATTTATAAGTTTTCGCTTCTCTCTTTCTTAAAATTCATAATAAAAGTATTTTTAATATCTGAATATTCAGTGCAGTGAATAAATTAATTAATAAACTTGTCAATAAGAGCATGCCAGCCATGACAGTTATACTTTGATACCAATTCAGGTATCAAAAAATGATCCCATATTCTGGATCATTTCTTGAAAATGATCCAAATATTTGGATCAATTTTATACCTTATATCGAATCAAAACGTTGCATTCCAAAATGATACCATCAAGTTTACAGTGATATCTGTAGTTTCTTCAGTGCAATTTTTTTTTTTGACGACTAAGAAATCTATAAGCGACAGAAAGAATATATATATTATTTGATTTCTTGAGTTTTCTTTAAAAAAAAAAAAAAATTCACCTTTTAAATGAAAAGTATATACACTTTATAACTTCTTATGATAATATGTGAATTTTGAGGTCCTAGTTGAAGGGAAGAAAAATCGCTTTTAAGAATACGTATATATTTAAAGTCACTAAGTTTGTAGAAAGGAAAGCTTCGTCTTCACATGTCGCATTAAGGTTTGTTTCTTGTTTCGAGCTTAAATGTACTCTTGACTTAAATCGATGGTTTATTTCAAAAAAGTTGAAAGCCATTTTCTGCTAAACTTAGCTTTTGCCTTTTTGACTCTTTTTCTCACAAAAGCCTGTCAAGTATTATTTATAGTTAAAATTATTTTTATAATAAAACGTTATTCCTTGACGCAGTTTGTGTTTTATTATTTTTTGGACTATATACAAAATATATATATATATATATTATTATTTTTAGTATTATTATTATATCATTAAATACGCTATCTGTACATGATATGTTTTCAATTTAATTATTATTACATAATAAAGAACATAATTTTATTAAATTTAGCACCTGTAATTACAAATATATTATTACTAAATAACACATTCATTACAATTAAAATATTAATCATTTAATTGATGAATCAACTGATGCGTTAATAATAATTATTCAATATTTGAAGATACTGTTTTTGATGAAAAGTATCACGTTCAAACAATATGTACATATAAAAATATTTATATATAGAACTTCTATATCAGTTTACTAATTTTAATTTATTGTTTATTTTCAGAGGAAGATTATGACGCATTCTGTCTGGCTTATATGTTCACCTATCGCGATTTTGAAATGGGTACTTTGGGTTTGGCTTGGACAGGCGACCTAAAAAATGCAGGCGGAGTGTGTGAGAAAAATGGGGTAAGTTAAAATCGATTTTAATCAACTTTCGGTAAAAAAAGTGTGTTTTTTCTATTATTTTCAATTAAAAAATTGGTATATAAATTTTTTTAATTTAAAAAAAAAAGTTTAACTTAATTACCTGTACTGCAATTTGAAATGTATTTTTAAAAAATTGTTTATTGCAGCAAATTTAAAATGAAATTGAAAAATAATAAAAAAAAAAATTAAGAACTCTATATTTTTTAACAATAAAAAATAGTTAAAATTTAATGAAAAAAAAAAGAAATGAAAACTTTTATAACTTTTTGAATAGAAAATTTAGCTTTTAAAGAGAATATAATATTTTCATGAACTATGTCCATCGATAAAGTTTGAAACATAAAATAAATATAAATTTGTCATAAAATTCTCTTTTAGTGGAAGAGACATAAAGTATCCAGTATATAATAAAAAAAAATTACACTTAAATCTAATTTTTCTATCTTTGTGTGTTTATCTTTTTTTTTTATTAAACTGAAACTCTTGAATTTTTTATTTTATTTTTTTTTAACGATTGGTTCAAATTAATTAAAATAAAATTTTTTTAGTTTAGGTAAATATAATTATTTGATAATAATCATAAATAATCGATTATTTGCATATAAACATTGTTTTCAATAGTATTTTTATAAAATATAAATTTTTATAAAATAAAAATTATATGGTATAAACAGTGTGTAAATATTTATTAAAAAGTAACAATTTAGAATATCGCGTGTCGATAAACACTTCTTGGTTACTATAAAAATTGTTTTCACGTATACCATTCTCTCTTTTATTTAAAGTTCAAACGCATAGATAAACGCAAAGAACCTTTTCAATAGTACCAGGAATGTATAAGAAAGACTTATAAATACACACGTGCTTCGTATGTCAAGTCGCTGATTGAAACATTGAAGATACTGTTAAATTTATATAACATTTTTTTTTATTTTATGAACACATTCCCACATGGAAAAAAAAATTTATAGACAAAAACAAGCGATATTGCAGAAATATAATTAATATAAAAAAGCTACACATTTAATTTATGATCTTCGATTTTTGTCTAAGCTTAAAAAAAGTAAAACTATATTTAACATAATTTTTTCCAAAAATGGTATAACCAAATCTTCAAAAATTAATTGAAATTAATTTTTATTACATGTTTTTTTGCGTTAGGCCTAAGCAGAATGAAATCTCTAATCGTAAATCTTAAATTTTTATATGAGAGAGAAAAGGACAAAAGATATTTCTATTCTTTTCTCTCTCATGTAAAAGCTTAAGATTTACGATTAGAGATTTCATTCTGCTTAGGCCTATTAAAAACCATTTTTCAGTTTTGAGGTTATATTAGAGCTTTCGCGTCTGCTTAAGGCTTAAGACTAGTTCTACAATAGATTAACCGAATCGTCTTGAAGATGAAAATTATTTCATGTGAACTAAAAATCTTTAAAAATATTTTATCTGGGAGGATATAAGATTTTTATTTTCTTTAATATAAAACAATTTTTTTAATCAATAATATTAATAAAAGCTGAAATTATAGGAATAATGAAACATGTAAAATAAAATTGTCAACAGTTGGCAATGGATGCGCGCGCATCCTATTGTCCAAAAAATCGTTCATAATGGCGCACTCACACCTTTTTGGCTGCCTGCCTGCAGGTTACCATGGCAACGCACGAGTGTAAGTGAGACAGAAAATCTGAATATTCAAATTTTTCAATTTTCTGTCGCACTCACTCTCATGCATTGCCATGGTAACCTGCAGGCAGCCAAAAAGGTGTGAGAGCGCCTTAAGACGATGCGATTTAGCTGTTGTGGAAGCAGCCTTAGGTTCTGTGAATTTTAGTTTTAAAACGGTAGTAATTTCAATAATTTACTTTTAGTTAGTTACAATTCAACTGATACAGTTAAAAAGGATTTAAAAATTGATTTTTACTATAATATCGCTCGTTAATTTTTTATTAAATGTCAACCTGGCCCAGTATTTTGGCAAAATTGACTGACTTCATAAAATAGTATATGAAAAAATAACATACTTATCCTTCAAGTTTTGAGGTGTTAATAAATAAAAAATGAAAAATATGTGTGTAGTTGAATTCAAGACTAGAGCAATACTATGTAGTTGTATCTTTGTCAAGTAAATGCTATCTATTGGAATATCGATTTAAAATAGTCTAAAGTGTATTAAGTTTTGTTACGAAATACCACGGATTGTTGTACGGTTTTGTATTACATAAAATATAGAGTTGTGGAATTTTTATATTAAATCCTTTTCTAGAAATGTTAAATAAAAGTACAACTAAATATGTGATGCGCTCTGAAGAAAGAAACCACCAAGAAGGAAAAAATGGATATTGGAATTGAAGTACACAAAAGCGATCAACTTTCAATATAAATAATTGAATCTTCACAACATACAAAATATTCATTAAAAACTAACATTGATTTTACATAATTAAAAAGAAACTTTTGATCAAGATAAAACTGTCGTAAACATAACCTATAATATGTGTTTAATTCTTAGGTTTCTTTATTTAGAGCACGTTACATATAATAAAATAAAATTAACAATATAACAATAATATCTAAAAGATCTTTTATTTCTGATTATATTTTCTTTAAAAAAAAAAAAGAAATAAATAAAATTTATTAACAATTTATGGTTTGCAGCATTATCGTGGAAGCATGAAATCCTTAAATACGGGTATAGTGACCTTGTTGAATTATGGGAAGCACGTCCCTCCCGCAGTTTCTCACGTGACTTTGGCCCACGAGATTGGTCACAACTTTGGCTCACCGGTAAGTGTAGTTTAAAGTTTTTACTTTCTTTAGACACAGCCTTCGTGGTTAATTTTCTCTTGCTTGTAAGAAACAATAAAAATTTCAAGACTGGAGTATTAAAAAAAATTGAGAAAAAAAACTAATTTTTTAAATTTTCCTTTAAACATTATTGTTTATAGATACACTGCAAAAAAGGATGTTTTTAAAACGTCTTATTTAAAGACATTATAGAAATTTAAGACATTGTTTGTGTCTATCGAGCCTAAATTTCGAGCCCACTTTCTGCGTTTTATGTGAGACATAAAAAGAAGACGCGAATAGTGTCTTCATTTAAGATGTTTTAGTTCGTTTGAGACGTTTTAGTGACAAGTCACATAGAATATTAGGGTTGCGCACGTAATATACCTCAAGTAAATTACATTACATTTTGTACGTATTTTACGTACGTAATATACGTCTCTAGTTTTCTACAAAACGTAATATACCTTTTCAATATGGCAACGATTTAAAGCGGTCATCGTGAATGTAAACATAACCTCTTTTAGTGTTTCCTGATGTGATGATATAAAATAAAAGCGATTATAAATAATACTATTTAATAATTCATTTAAAATATATAAGGTAACTATGATAAATAACATGTTTACATAGAAAATAATTTATTAATTTCTAATTACTAAAGTACTGAATATAATAATCTTTTTTAAAAAATTGAAAAATACAATTCTGACAATTAAACTTATGGCGCACTCACACCTTTTTTGGCTGCCTGCCTGCCTGCAGGTTACCATGGCAACGCACGAGTGTGAGTGAGACAGAAAATTTGAATATTCAACTTTTTAAATTTTCTGTCGCACTCACTCTCATGCGTTGCCATGGTAACCTGCAGGCAGCCAAAAATGTGTGAGAGCGCCTTTACTTTACGTTTTTTGAATAATCTTCCAGAATTATTACTCTCGTTTTCACTGACTGTAATGTCAACAATGTCCACATTATTACTGCTTAAAGTCATTTTACAAACATTAATTTCTAAAAAAAAATTTTAGTCAAATATTGTAAACAAAAAATAAATATCATTATTTTATGTATAAGGGTCAGTCCACTAACTTTCGTCTAATAGTGGTTGCGACCAAATTTTTAAAAAATCTAGTTTTAATATATGTGAAACTCGATGATTCCCTGAGTTCATTAACCATAATATTATGGTAAAAATTTTATTCCCTTTAAAAATATTAAATATCAAAAGTAGGAGGTTCACAATGTGATTTTGTAACCTTAAATTTTTCAATTTTTTTAAAAACGCTATTATTAAAAAACTATTAAAAATTAGATATTGGAACTCACCAAAAACATAAATCACTTTATTCTGCACAGAGGAACGAAGGAATTATTGCAAAAATTTATTATTTTTGGATGATATACGATTTTAAAAAAAATTTTATTTAAATATTCTCAAGATTTTTATTTACTTATAACTTTTTTGTCGGTGCTCCGAAAAAATTGAGGTTTTGCACAAAGAATTTTTATAATATTCTTTACCTTCTATTAAAATCTTACGAAGGTGTTTTGCTTCGTTTTGGAGATATTAATTATCAAAATTTTTTATTTAAAAATGTTAATTAAAAGACTTGAAGTTAACTGACCAATTTCAAATCGCTACATTTTAATATATTTTTATAAAAAATGGAGCAGTTTGAATTTGGTCAGTTAACTTCAAGTATTTTAATTAACCTTTTTAAATAAAAAATTTTGATAATTAATATCTCCAATACGAAGCAAAACACCTTCGTAAGATTTTAATAGAAGGTAAAGAATATTATAAAAAATCTTTGTGCAAAACCTCAATTTTTTCGGAGCACCGACAAAAAAGTTATAAGTAAATAAAAATCTTGAGAATATTTAAATAAAATTTTTTTTAAAATCGTATATCATCCAAAAATAATAAATTTTTGCAATAATTCTTTCGTTCCTCTGTGCAGAATAAAGTGATTTATGTTTTTGGTGAGTTCCAAAATCTAATTTTTAATAGTTTTTTAATAATAGCGTTTTTAAAAAAATTGAAAAATTTAAGGTTACAAAATCACATTGTGAACCTCCTACTTTTGATATTTAATATTTTTAAAAAGAATAAAATTTTTAGCATAATATTATGGTTAATGAACTCAGGGAATCATCGAGTTTCACATATATTAAAACTAGATTTTTTTTAAAATTTGGTCGCAACCACTATTAGACGAAAGCCAGTGGAATGACCCTTATACATAAAAGCAATAGAATTATGTACATAAATGAAATAATAATAAAAATATTAATAACAATGTTTACACTGCTGTAACAGAAGACGATTATAGCTATAGTATTTTGTAAAATTTTCAAACAAATTGAACATTTGGATACAGCTTTTGTTCAAATTTTTGTATAGTTGCATACATTTTTTACGTATATTACGTCAAAAACTCCGAGTTATGCGTCACAACCCATCACTGGTCTCAAATAAGGCATTTATAATGTCTCATTTGAAGACACCTACAAAACGTCTTAAAAGTGACTACAAAAGTGTCTCAAAAAAAAAAAAAAAAAATATGACACCCGTTTTTGCAGTGTATAGCGTTATAATTTCTGAAACGTGCCACCCAAAATTAAATTATTTTATTTATCTTTAAAATGTGGCTTTTCTGGTAGTATTTTATATAAATAATCCCTGTACCAAAAGGATTTAAAAACAATTGTTTTGTTATTAACCATTAAAATTTTTAGATTATTCTTTAAAAAAAAAAATTAATTTTATTAAAATTTATTGACATATTTTAATGATTTAAACGCCATTCTCTTTGTTTTGATTCAAAGTTTTTAATGGTATTTTTTTTAAATATTCTATTTTTATAAATCTGTTATCACTCTTATTGCGGTTGTTAAATCTGTGTCATTTTTTTTCTCAAAGGAATATTACTCAGAACTTCTCAAAGAATAGTGGATATTTTTTTCATCTTGAAATTCAATTGCAAACATAGCATACCTATAATAATTTCTTATTTTAAAAAATAATTTTTTTTATTTATAAATTAAATATATTCTTTTTTTAAGGAAAAAATATCATAAAAAAATTTGAATCATTAAAATTGTTCGAAAAATTTTTCTGATTTTTTGTTCATGTTTGATAATAGTCAATGTATTTGAATCAAATAAATGTTTTTTTCAGTGTAAATTTAAAATCTAAGTATTTATTTTAATTATGTTATAATATTAAAAATAAATTTTTATATACTTTTTTATTGATGTATATAACTGTTTAGGCCTTAGTTTTTATTTAGACATATAAATTTGTAGGCCATTCGGATTGTCTGACTATATGGAATTTTATTACTACTTAAAAGCGTCTGCAGTATGTATGTATTTACTTTCCCGTCTGACTCAAAAAGCTTTTACTACTCACTTATCTTACTGCTTCTCTCGGTCTGACTGAATAGATTTTTACTACTTACAAAAATGTATTCTATAATGTAATTCGACTAAATAAAGTTTTTTCTTTGCTTCTTTGATATTTTTGATTATATCACTGTCGCTAACTCAAAGCTCAAACTAATATTATAGTTTTATAATTTTTTATTTATTTTATTATAAATATTTTTTTTTATTTACTTTTTTTATTTGTTGAATGATAATAATAATAAATAAATAAATAATTAAATTGAATAAGCATTTTTAATCATTTTGTTTTTAATTCAGAAATTAAAAATAGAAAATAGTTTTAAAAAATAAAATAAAAATCATCTAGCGACTTGAAAATATTAATAATTATGGTATTTTTAAAATGATGTGCATCTCACCTGACCTTAACCTATGTAACATTTTTTCAATCAAGTAAGAAAATTATAAAAATAAGTAAATATAAAAAAAATCTATATAATTATATTTTTTTTTTATCATTTCAGCACGATCCCGAGCAATGCACACCTGGTGGAGAGGATGGCAATTTTATAATGTTCGCTCGCGCTACCAGCGGTGACAAGCGAAACAATAATCGTTTCAGTCCTTGTAGTCTTAATGCCATCAATCCTGTTCTGAACACGAAAGCTCGTTCTCATAAAGGATGCTTTACTGGTAAGTTTATATTTATATTAAATTGTGACACTTTTACAACATTCTACTATACGAGAAAGATACTTTATTAAGTAGTTTCTGTATTATTTTTTATTTCCTATATGGGACGCATGATTATCCCACAAAAGTAATTAGTTAGAATTTTCAACAATTGCATTAGATGTAACTATTTGTTTGGACGAATTTTCATTTTTCGAATTAACATTTGTTTGAATTTCTTTTTTAAAAAATTTTTAATTAACAGGATTTTTAGACACCAAATTTTTATTTGTCCGAAATTGCAAATGGCCGAACAAACTATCGACAGAAAGATTTTGGCGCGATTTTTAAAATTCATTAATCACGATTTTCTTGACAACATTTGATTGGTGAATTTTAAACATCGCGCCGAAATCTTTCTGTCGATTGTTTGTTCAGACATTTACAATTTCGGATAAATAAAAATTCGGCGTTTCAAGAATTCTGTACAGTTAAAAATTATTTAAAACAGAAATTCTGACAAATGTTAATGCGAAAAATGAAAATTCATCTAAAAAATAATTATATCTAATAAAATTCTTTAAAATGAAAATTTTAAATAATGATTTTTATGGGATAATCATGCGCCCATTCTATATGAGGTATTCCACGCCAAATCAGACACCACTTTGCATTTACATCTTCGATTTTTTGAAAACTTTTTTTTTCTTTTAGTAAAAAATTTAAAAAATATTTTATAAAATTTTATAAAATTTGATATTTAGACTTTCAATGACTATAAAAACCTTTTGGCAAAATTTGGACTAAATTCGATAACTTTAAATTATTCAATAATGTTTATACAGAAGTTGGTCCTTAATATATTGTATAAAAAAGTTTCTTTTCAGTTTAATTTGATTTAAACTTTTTTTTTACATTAAATCACATTTTTTTCAACTTGTCCATTATTTTGGTGAGATTGAGTTTGCTGTGATTGATGGATTTTCCAGTAATGTAAACAAGGCGTTTCTTTATATTTAAAAAAACAGTTAAATAATTGAATTTGTATATAAAATCGTCAAATTGCATTTTTAATTCTAAAAAATTAATTATTTGCGATTGTCTAACAAAACTTATATTCAAAAAAAATTATTTTCAATATTTCTTTATCTTTAGAGATAATTTCAATATATTAAATTATTATTAAAACTAGTTTTTTTCTCTTTTGTTTTAGAGATTAGTTGAACATAAATTTTGAACATTTTCTACTTTATAATTACAGTTTTAATTACTATTTAATTTAATTTTATTTCTCTGCTTTCTTTCGCGCGATATATGGGAAAATAGTTTCATTTAACAAAATAGAGGTGACTTTTCTTTAAATTCTCGTAGTTAGTTTATCCTGCATCAAGTAAATCACAGTTGTCCATTTCAACAAAACCCATCTTGAGTGGCAACCCTTGTTCACTATACTGAAACTCTATTCAAGTTTGACCACTCAACAAAATAATGAACCTTTGCGGCTTTCCCAAGTTTACAATGCTACACGTTTTCTTTTGTTTCTTTAAGGTTTTTTCACTTTGCAAAAAAAGAAAAAAAAAATCGAGAATTATCTAAGAGAATTGTGTTATCTTCTTGGACATTTTCATTTTGAATTGGGGAATTTCACTAAAAAAAAAAAAAGATATTAGCACGTACTTTAATTTTAAACAACGTTTATGGTCAACAATTTTTAATCTTTTTTTTTACATAGGAAACTTCTGCGCATCTTCTTGCGTAACTAGTTCTGTCAGTTATCATAAGCTGCAATCATTGTTTTGACGTTTTCGTAATTCTTTAAACATTTAAATACTTCAGTTATTTATAAATAAGATAATAAAATAGACTTTTTCATGTAAAAAAAATTTTTTTAAATATATACGAAAGTTATCATTACATAAGTTAAAATTACTAAAAAAATAAACAAAAAAAGGAAAAGAAGTCTGACAGACCGTGAAAAGCACTAAGGGTAATTTTTTGATTCTTATCAGTTTGAAGGTTAAGGGTAGGTTCTATCACAGAAAAAACCTAGTCTCATTTTTGTTGCAAATCAAAATGAGCCGCCTACACGGCTCATTCTGAATTCAGTTTTTTTCTGTGTAGTAAGACAGCACCGTCTATAAGGCAATTAAAATTTCGGAAAATTTTTTACAGTATATTTACTTGAAAACAAGAAAATAAAATGCTTTGGCCTTTAGCATAATTTTAACTTAAAAAAAGTTTTAGCTGGTGTATTTCTTAACAATAATCAATTATCATAAAGGACAATGCATTTTATTTTCTTTTTTTCAAGTAAATAGTGTAAAAAATGTTTGGAAATTTTAGTTTCGATATAGATGGTGTTGCCTTACAAGGATATTTCTTGTAATGTTTAGTTATCAACAAATTATAAAAAAAAAACATTTTTCTTAGGTAAAATTTTTTCTAATTTTCCATGTTAAAAAATTTTGCTTTTTAATAGTTGATCATAAATGTTACGGATTTTATCATCATGTAAAATTATCTTTTTAAACATAAATTTGTTTGATATAAAGTTATCGTGTAATTTACAATTGTATGAAATTTTGTATATATATTATATACGGTGGTTGAGTCGAACGATTAATGTGCTGTGTTCGATAATGTCATCTATTTTGCGAAAGCTACAAGAGCCCAGCAACAGATCGATTCTGCTTTAGTTGAGTGATGGTCTAGGTGTATGACATATATTTACAACCTGTGCACCCCATGTACTGGCAGTACACATATATATATATATTTATATATGTATATGCAAAGGTTGTAAGGGAATTGGAGAACAGAGAATGTCGCCTCTATGCAAAGCCGAGGATAATAGTTGTCCATTGGCTTGTTAACTTGGCTTTAACGCTCGTCCGCCAGCTTAACCAAAATCCATTTGACATTTAATATGATATACTTGTCAAAGATTCGTCCTCTGAGACACTTTCTTCAAACATTAAATCTCAAACTGTTATCTAAATCTAACACATCTTTGTGATTTCGAACTAATATTAAATACTACGTACTTGAATTATAATTAAAAATATTTGAAAAGTTATATATGACGTAGACTGACATTGACTGTACTAAAAATGTTGAGAATTTCTGTTTCACTCTAAAATTAATATTATACTACAATTTTTAGTTTTCTGTCTGACTTAAACTGACTTTTACTATACTTAGACTAAAATTAGAAATATTTTTGCCGCATGATTATTCCATAAAAATAATTACATAAAATTTTTAATTTAAACTATTTTATTAGATATATAATTATTTTTTAAACGAATTTTCATTTTTCACATTCGCCTTTAACAGAATTTATTTTCAAACTAATTTTTAGTTAACAAAATTTTTCAGGTAACGAACTTTTATTCGTCAGAATTTTTATTTCACATAATTTTTTTACTCAACTTTTTATTTAAAAAAATTATAATTTAATCGAATTTTAATTTAACATAATTATCATTCAATAGAATTTTAAGTTTTCTAATTCTCCGTATATTCATTTGTTCGAATTTTTATTTACATGAATTCTTATATTTGATGTAATTCTTAAAACGACGAATCTTCATTTTTGTCCGAAATTGAAAATATCTGAATATAGAATGAACAGAAAGATTTCGGCGCGTTTTTTAAAATATAGACCAATTAGAAATTATCAAGAAAATTGTGATTGATAAATTTTAAAAACAGCATCGAAATCTTTCTGTGGATTATTATTTATTTCGGATAAATGAAAATTCGGCGTTTTAAGAATTTTATCAAATAATACTTCGTACAAATAAAAATTTGGACAAATAAAAATTAGTTGAATTGGAAATTCAAGCATTTAAAAATTCGAAGCATTTAAAATACTACAAAAATTCAAATTCGATTAAATTATACCTAATTCTTTTAAATAAAAAGTTGTGAAAAGAGAAATTTTGTAAAATTCTACCAAATAAAAATTTGTTACCAACAAATTCTGTAAAGTAAAAATTTGGGGTGAATTTTTGAAAACAAAATTTGTTGTAATATTTTGTCAAATGCTAATTATTCGAAAAGTGAAAATTCGTCAAAAAAAAATTATATATAATAGAATTATTCAAAATAAAAATTGTAACTAATGATTTTTATGATATAATCATGTGTTTCAAATAGTTGAAAATTCAGAATTACAATCTCCTATTATATTAAAATGTTTAATTTGTCGTCCTCGTGACGTCACTTGGTCAAGAATTTTTCTTTAAAGTTTTTTGCAAATTTTTTATAATTCATTATAAATTATTATAATTATAATTAAATTGTTTTATTAAAAACAAAAAAAAATTAAGAGTTAATTATTAAATGAACATTTATTTAAAAATGCATTTAAACAATAGTTATACTTTTTCAGAGATTTTCTTTAGAATTGTATAATAAATATTGAATTGAATGAAACACTTGTTTTTGACACAAGAGGATATGAGTCCTCTGTTATAATGGGGAAAAGAGTTGATGGACGTGAAAAAGAATTTAATTGAAAATCGGCTTTCTTTTGTGAATTTTAGAGCCCCAGGCATCGTTATGTGGAAATGGAGTTGTCGAGGATGGAGAGGAGTGCGATTGTGGATGGGAAGAAGATTGCAAGGACTCGTGTTGCTTTCCTCAACGTCGATATCCACCGACTGATGAAACACCATGTACATTAACTCCTGGTTCAATTTGCAGTCCTAGTCAGGTAATTCTCATCTATTAAAATATTTAAAATATTATTAATAAGCTTATCTATAAGAATTAAAAATTTAGAAAAAATCTTTAAAATTTTGACAATTTTTTTTTAAATTATTTCTTTTTTTTGTTAAATTTTTTTTCCCAATTATTTTCAATTAGATTAAAATACGAACGATAAATGCAACAGTGCTTCAGTCCACGTCATTTTGACATATTTATTTTCAAAAATAAATCGCACTATCGGAACACATGAATATTAGACCTGTCGAAATTTTTTGTCGTGTTGAATTAAAAATTATCGTATTTTTATTTATAGACAAAATTTAAACCTGGCAAAATTTTGATAAAAAAAATAATTTTTATTTTATTGAATTGTTCTTTTATTGAATTCCTATTTATTTAAATATTCACTTGACTATATTTTCAGTAACTGAATTCACATTTAACATAATTTTTATTTAAGAAAATTCTTACTTAACAAAATTTTTATTGGAGAATATTGTTTTATTCGAACTAATTTTTTAAATAAAAAACTAATCGTACTAATCATATAGAACGTACAAGTTAACAACACTATTTTTTTCAAAACTGTAATATTTATGCAAATTTTGTATTAATTTGAGCTGGAAAATTTTTTTTGAAAAAATAATTAGGACACAAAATTTTAAAAACCATTATGAAACTCAAAAATTCTTATAATAATTTTAAAAATCTTTAATAATAAATTATTTAAAATAATTGAAATTTATATAAAAAAAAAATTGTGCTAGTCGATCACAAAAAGAAATAACATTTAAGGAAAATTAAAAATTTTCAAAATAATTTGATTTTTAAATTTTCTGGATAAATTTTTTTTTTTTTGAATTTAAAAAGTAAATTGTTTTGAAAACTTTTTAATTTTTCGTAAATGTTATAATTATTTATTATTCTGATGAACTTACAAAATTCAGCATAAAATTTGTTTTTGAAAAATAATAGTTTTTAAATATTTATGAGTAAAAAAATGCTTATTTGAATTTAAAAATTGAATTATTTTGAAAATTTTTAATTTTTCGTAAATGTTTTAATTGTATTCTTTTTTATTGAACTCGTAGAATTCAGCACAAAATTTATTTTTTGACAAATAATCATTTTTCAATAAATCTGAGAAAAATTATTTTTTTTTTTTAATTCAAAAATTGAATTATTTTGGGAAAATTTTAATTTTTCGAGAATATTGTTCTTTTGTGCTTTAAATTATTTTTTTCCAATTCTCCATAATAGAATTTATGATTCTAGGTTCGAAAAGAAGTAAAAAAAAAAAATTGACAAACCTATATAATGTAAATTTTGATTAATTGAAAATTAACTGGCAATTCTTTTAAAATTGAACTTTGTTCCATATAATTTTTAATATTTTTATCGACACTTTTTTTTACACTTTTCTTGTGATATTTTGCACAATCAATTGTATGGATTTTAATATTTTTTTTAATTTTTTCAAAAAATAAAATTTTTAAAATTGTCAAAAATATTTTTTTTGTTAATTTTGATAACGTAAAAAATTTTTAGATCCTAAATAAGGTCAGGAAAAAAATTTTTAGTCTAGTAACAACGAAAATGTAAATAATTTGTATCTTGTAAAATTAGAATTGACTTATTTTCAATTTTTTGAGACAAAAAATGAGAAGAATGTATAAAATCAAAGCACAGAAGTTTTTTTTACTTATCAATTAATTTTCGTATAAATCGTTATTTTCAATTTTGTACCTTTAATATTTTTGACACTGGATTTCGTGAATTTTATAATTAATGTATATTTTCTCATAAATCTTCCAAATTTTTTCGTCATAATTTTTTTTTTTCATTTCTAATAACAAATTTACTAATATATAACATTATATTTACTTTATTGAAATATCACACTACTAGATGTAAAATTAAAAAACTTCGAAATAAATGTTTTCTAAATTGAAAACTAGCGTGAAACCATAATAGCCCCAGTTGACGGTAGTAAAAATATATCGAGAGTAAAATATATTTCATTTCCTTTTTTATATTCCCATATATAAAAATGTTCAGTTATTGAAAAATAAAAGGTAAAAGTGAAGTATAATAACTCTTCGGCGTAATAAAGTTGAAACACCTCTTTTTCTTGTTTATATAAATGGAAAGTGATAAATGAAGCAATTTAGAGAAAGAGAACTTTATTTTATTTTCACAGGGTCCATGCTGTACGACGAATTGCATGCTGAGATTTTCTGATAAATGTAGAGATGACAACGGATGTAGAGATGCCAGTTTTTGCGACGGAAGAGCACCCTATTGTCCCCCATCCATTAACAAGCCGAACAAAACCATCTGCAATCAAGAGCTCGTTTGCTTTATGGGGGTGAGTTTGAAATACACGTAAAATCTGGGACCGCTAAAGTGTCTTGAATAATCCATAAAATGTATATCACTTGAATTAGATTATCTAAAATTACTTCAATTTCAATTCATTGAATTTAATTTCCCTTTTTGTTGAGAGAATAAAAAAACTTTCATTGCTTTCTGAATTCTTTAATATATATATTTGTAAATAAATGAGAGAAATAAACTTGTTGAATTTTCATTTGATGGAATTTAGATTTTTAACACAATTTTTCATAGAGAAAAATTACTTTTTATTAAGTTAAATTAATAATCTTTTTTACTTAACAGGATTATGTAAACGAACTTTCTTTTGTAATTTAACTAAATTTTGATTCAGCGAAAAAATTTCTTTAATCAGAAATTATTTTAAATGATAATTGTACTAAATAAAAATTTAGTGATATTAAAATTATGTTTAAACAAAATTTGGCTTATTAAAAATTCTGTTAAATGAAAATTCTATTCTGTGGAAATTATGTCATACATAAAATTATGTAAAAAAGAAACTTTATGTTAAATAAAAATTCACCAAACTAAAGAATTTGATAAATAAAAGTTTAGTTTAATAAAAACTCAGTTAAATAAGATTTAGGTTAAATAAAAATTTTTTCTATATGAAAATTCGGCTTAATAAAATTTATACTGTTAAAACGATTATTGTTAAAAAATTGTTGTTTAAGAAACATTTTCACCATTTTCATATTTATTATCAATATTGTTGAAGTTCATAACATTTATGATTATTGATCGACAAAAGAGGAATATTTTTCATCTGGAAAATAATAAAATTATTCGCCTAAAAATTATTTTCTTTTAAAAAATTCGTGAATGATAAAAGCTATAAAAAAAATTTTTTAAACAAAAAATTATAATAATTTGCATAGAAAAATAATTTTTCTTCTAAATCGTTGATCATAAACGTTATTATTAGTTAAAAGCAGCAATGGAAATTAATTATTAAATTTTACGATTTAGGGAAAAAATGTCAAAGAATAAAAAGCAAAGAATTTTATTAAAATATTTAAGATATTAAAAGTCATTTAAAAAAAAAAAAAAAATGGAAGTAAAAAATTTTTAATTAAATCTCTCCATTGTTACCGGTTTTGTGAAAATTAAATTTTTTTTTATAAAGAAAAAATGAAACCTTTTAAAACATTTTCCTCGATTGAATAAAATAGAATAAATATTCAATATGTAATAAGAAGCAAAGAATATAAAATATAAAAATATTGGTATATATAATATTTCTATTGTGTGAAAAAGCATTGGGAAAATTGATCATAACTTTTTTTTTTTATATTGAAACGATCTTCTCGTTTCTCGTGAGTTGACTGTAAAGAATGGGCATCTTTTATATTTTCAGGAGTGCACGGGCAGTATTTGTCTAGCTTATGGCTTGGAATCCTGTCAGTGCATACCAGGACCAAACGATCCTGCAACGAAGGCTTGCGAATTGTGCTGCCGTTTACCTGGAGAAAATCAACCTTGTTTGTAAGTTTGAAAAGAAAATTATTATTATTATTTTTTTTTTCATCTCTAAACTTTATATTTATTAAATTTTCTTTTCAAGTCTTTGACAATGATAACTGCAATAAGTTTATGTTCAATATAGAAGGGGATAAAAAAGAAAGTATAGTATAGGAAATTGAATTTCTTATTGTTGTAGATCAAATTTCCCATGAAATGTAAATAAAACAAAGTTGCTAAAGAAGACAAAACTTTTTCCAATATGTTTGAAATGAACTTGTTGCTGATGTTCTTCTCTCGAGTGTATTTCTTACTATATATAAAAAAAAATGCTAGGAAATATGTTTATGATAAACCTGTTGTGTATATTTATAAAATATTATATTTTTTTTTTTCAATTGAAAAATTTAAATAATCAATTTTTTGGGGAAAATTAAAGGTAAATAGAAATATACAGTAAAATTTAGAATTTTTAAATATTTTCTTCGAATTTTGACTGGTTTTAATGTAAATTTTTTTATTTAAATTTTATTCTGTGGGCTCAATATTTTGTTTCAAATAAAAAAAAAAGAATTATTCTAAATTAATAATTTCTATAAAAATTAGAGATAATTAAATAATTCAATTTTAATTTTTTTTAGTAATTTTAATGAAATTCTTCACAAATTCAATGATCTTAAACTATTTTTCAATTAAAATTTTTATGAAATCTAATAATTGTTTATAATTTAAAAAAAAAAATTTTGCAAAAATTTCAATTATTTTTATTGATTTTTATAACATTCTTTGAAAATCACTAAAAATTTCTCTTATTATAATTATTGTCTGTAATTTAACAAAATCTTTTGAAATTCAATTATTTTCAAAAATTTCAATTTAAAAGTTTCTAAAATTTTCCATTTCATAGTTTCAATATTATAACTCTCCTGTAATTCATTTATTTTTAATTATTTTTATAATATTCTTCGAAAATTCAACTATTTGAAACCATTTTTCACTTAAAAAGTTTTCAAATTATTGTATTTTTGTCTGCAATTTCTAAAAAATTTTTTAGTAACAAAAATCATTAAAAATTAAAAATTAAAAATCACTTGAAGTTCAATTAATTTCAAAAATCTAAATTGTAAAACTTTGAAAATTCAATTACTTTTAAACCATGACAAAATTTTAAATTCGAATAAATTGCTTAAATTAGACTTGAAAAAATTATAAAAATGGAGGTTTAAAATTTTTTTTAGAAATTTGTTCTACTTAAATAAAATTTTGAAAATTTGTCTTACAAGTCTTGTCTTCTTAGTTCGAGTCTGAAATATTTGAAATAAATTTTCTTGATAATATTTTTATAAAATTATTCTCATTTCAGAATTAATAAAATGAAATTAATATCTAATAACATGAGTTATTTAAAATAATATATATTAATTAACCAATTAAATTTTGTGAAAATAAAAAAAATCGACTTTTTTTGGAATATAAATCGATTAAAATGACTTTTTTTGTACCTTTAAGTCGATCCGAGGCCTGTAATTATTATTAATAGAATCGAATTTTGATCTTTTACACACCTTGAATAAAAATATTCATAAATTTTTCAAATTCTTCTTTCAGATCTTCTTTCGACTGGAATTCGCCACCCTACGATATTCCTGATATGTTTTCGAAACCCGGCACTCCATGCAATGAATACAATGGATACTGTGATGTTTTTCAAAAATGTAGAGAGGTAAATTTTATTTTATTTTCATTTATTATAATCTCCATGTATACGAGTATATTTAATTTATATTTTAAAGCAGAAAAAAATCTATCAATATGTAATATAAAAACTTCTTTTCAAATTGTAATTTTGTAAATATATATTTTTTTTAATATAATATTTAAATTGTCGAGGAAAAATTTAAAATATAAAAAAAAATTGTAATCACAGCTCGAAGATTCGTTGTTCGAAAATAATGAAAGAAAAAACTCGTTTCTCGCTAGCTGGAAAATTGCACGATCGAAGGAAGGTAGTGCAACACAAATATTATCCTTTTTATCTTTTTTTTCTTTGTTTTTGTTTGAAAAACAATTTTAAGCTTTACAAGAAAAGCTTTTTGGAGTTTGTGTATTTTCACCTTTCACTTTTTACCATTTATTTTTTTCACCTCCCGCTAAAACAAACATTTAAATCGATTGTTTTATTCCTCTTTATTTCACTTGCTCTAGAAAACAAATGTATTTCGTATATATATAAAAAAAATGGTCTTTATTATTTCCATTGAAAAAAAAACCCAATGAACAATTATTTAGAATGAAAAATATATTATAGTAAAATTGAATTAAAATTAAAAATATTTTTTATAACGATAATAGTTTTCCAATAAAAAAAAAATCGAATTATTTATGAAATAATTTGAAGTTTAAATGAAAAATTTGTATATTAAAAAAAATTTGCCATTTATTAGAATTTTATTATAAAAATTATTAAATGGAACAAAAAATAAATTTAATTATTGAAAAATAAAAACAAACAGAGTTAAAAAAAAAGATTGTGTATATTTTTTAATGTTGTTGAAAATTTTCTGCGTAGGTGGATCCCAGTGGACCTTTAGCAACATTAAGAAAACTTTTACTATCAGACGAAAGTCTGGCCACTTTCAAACGATGGATGGCCGAACACTGGTATGCTGTGGCTCTAATAGTCCTGGGAGTCATTTCTCTACTGGTACGTATTTTACAACTTTTTAACTTTTCCACCTCATAAAAATAAATCTACTTATATATATATATATTTTGTTCTATTTTGGCGATTATTTCAAAAGTTTATTTTGATACTTTTCTTCATATTAATTTTAATCTTTTTATATTTTTTTCGTCACACTATTTTTATAAAGACTCGAATGAGGAAGAAGAAGAAGAAAATTGATTGTGAAAATTGTAAGTTCAATATAAAGAGGTGTTTTTGCTAGGTTCATTTAAAGAAAAAAAAATTCATGAAATTTTGGTATAAATTTCAATAAACATTTGTTTAGTTAGTAGTAGCTAGTCTCATTATGTCATTCGCATTACAATCAACATTTATAATAACAATAATAATAATGCAATATTTAAATTTATTTATTTTATTTATTTACAGTAATAAAAAGGCTTACACAAAATTAAACTGCCCTTTCGTATAATTTGTACTATTTAATTTAGAAAAGAAAAAAAAAGTAATTAAGTAATTTAGCAAAAATATTTTATTTAATGATACAAAAGGTTACTAATTTTTTTTTTTTTTTTTAATAAATGTGTCAAATTTTATTCTTTATTAATTTTTTAAAAACTTTTCCATGCTTTATGCTTTAGGATACACTACATCATATATAATAATTAATTATTTTTAATTTGAATCTTTATTTTTGAGGCATTTTATGTGAGATTTTTATTCAAAATTTTTTTTTACTGGGATATATTTATCGAAATGTTTTTTATTTATTTATTATTTTATTATTTACGTATTGTTTTATTTCTTTATTTGATAAAAATAATGGAAGTTATTTTTTTAAATTTAACGTCGTCAGAAGCCGATTTTTTTTTTAAATACGATTTTCTCTGCCCTACTAACAGAAAAAAAATATTAAATTTGAAATTTTTTCGATTTTTCTTTAATATTTTAAATATCTAATAAAAAAAAATAACTGGACTATAATGGGAGCATCCAAAAAAAAAGAAATTAATTATAAAAAGTGACTTTTCTCAAAACCGAAGTAGTCGATTTTGAAATTTTTTTTTTCAATTCATTTTTTAGAATTAATTTCAATTTTTTAGATGCTTTTCTTCTAATTATGTTATTGTTTATTACATATTTAGAATATTAAAGAAGAATAAAAAATTTCCTATATAAGATTATCTTTTATCTGTTAGTAGGACAGAGAAAATTGTATTTCAAAAATAATCTACTTCTGACAACGTTAAATTTTAAAAAATCATTACTTCCATAATTTTTTTCAAATCAAAAAATACCCATTTTCTTATTTTTTATAAACATTAAAAAAAAAAATTGAATGAAAATTTTCACGAAATACCCATTTTAAAATTTGATTATTTGCTAATAAATTATTAATTATGTATAAATTTATTTATTATTTATATATATATATATATGAAATAATAATCTTTACATATAAGGAATAATTTGTTTATGTGCAGGTGGCGAGCACGAGATTATTGGGAAAACGTCCGGACCAAAAACTGAAATCGATTACAATAATCCACAGCTCAACGACGGAGACTGTACGACTTCCACCGGAAGGAACGGAGGGAGTAACTGTACATCCGCCAGCGGTTCGTGCGAAACTACCTCTAAGCAGGAAGGTGAGGGAGAAGAGACATCGTCGAAAGCATAAGGATGCCAACCCATCCGCAAATACTGCAAACGAAAAGTCTTCAAAGGTAAACTTTTTGCACGCTTCAAAACGAATGATACCTGTAAATCCCTTTAGACTATAATAACCATTCCTGTCAAAAGTTCTCCAATTTCTCTTTCAAACTATTTAATACTTCAATCATTCAAACTGGAACCCTGATGACAAAAAAAAAAGAAAGTCACTCGTTTAATATTTGCGTTTTAACTAAAAAAGTTTAAATATTTTGCATATATTTCATCTTGACTTTTGAATATATTTGATTGAAGAAGTTTAAATGAAAAAAAAAAGAAATATCAGATTTTTCTTTGGATGTAAAAAAAAAAATTCTCTAAGCAATAAGTGGGACGCATGAATATTCCGCACAATGAATTTGTTGTAATTTATATCGAAATTAATAAGCTCGAATTTCTTTGTTGCCGAATTTTCTAATATAGAATATGTATTAAATTGAAATTTCATATTTAAGAATTTTTATTTAACTGAATTCATAATAAAAGGAATTTTTATTTAGTCGAACTTTTATTTTTCTATAGTCAACCGAATTTTTATTCTGCAAAATTTTCATAATATAGAATTTTTAATTAACATAATTGTTCTTTAATCTAATTTTCATTTCACTTAACGGAATTTTTATTTAACTGAATTAAAATATAAAAGAATTTTTATTTAATATAATTTTTATTTAACTGAATTTTCATTTAAAAGAATTTCAATTCAATCAAATTTCCATTTAACAGAATTTTTATTTGTACCAATTGGCATTTGATAAAAATTTTGAAAACGCCGAATTTTTATTTCAACGAAATTGTAAAAAGCCAAACAAAATATCCGACAGAAAAATTTTGTCTAGAAATTTTAAAATTAATTAATCACAATTTTCTTGATTATTTTTTATTGATTCATTTTAAAGTTCGCGCCAAAAATTTTCTGTTGAATATTTGTTCGGACATTTATAATTTCGGTCAAATGTAAATTTGGTGTTTTAATAATTCTCACAAATGATAATTGGTACAAATGAAATAAAAATTCTGACGAGTGAAAATTCGAATAAATAAAAATTCTGTGAAGTGAATTCTCGGTTATATATAAAATTCTGTAATAAAGAAAATCATTTTAATGAAAAATTCTGCAAAATAATAATTCGAACAAATAAAATTCGGCTAAATGTAAATATTATATCAGATGAAATTCTATTAAATGAAAATTCTAAAAATTGATTTTTAAAACTTATTCTGTTAAATTAAAACTTTGTATTATGCAAATTTTGCAAAATAAAAATTCGGTTAAATAGAAATTATATTAAATAAAAATTCCGTAACATAGAAAATTGAGCTTATTAATTTTGAAATCATAGAAATTCGAACAAATTTAGTATGGGGGAATATTCATGCGTTCCCAATAAGTATTAATCATTTGGGACAAATTTGTGTTTAAAAAATTATTAATTTTTTGAACTAGTTCGTAAAGATTAGACGAAATTATTTTTTACATAATGTTTGTCTTCAAATTTATTTTTTTTTAAAAGGGGAATAAAGTTTCTTCTATCAAACAGAATCTTTAATGAAAAGCAATAAATTTAAGGGGCAGAGAACGAGTGAAATTTCAAGCCAACAAAATTTACGCTTCTCAAGGGTGCCAATTCATTTTCTGACATAATTCAGGATCTAAAATGCCTTGCTCTTGAAAATTACATTGCTTTTTTTTATAAGCTCTTTTAGAAATTGCAAAAAATATAATTATAATTTACTTGATAAAATATTAATGGGATTCAATCCAGGGTTGCTATACAGGAGCTGGAAAACCTTGAATAGTCAGGGATTTTAAAAAAAAAGTTTGGAAAACCTGGAAAAGTCATGGAAATTTGAAAAAATCCCTGGAATTATATTCCACTTAATAGTATTTAGAAAAAATTTTTTCTTTAAAAAATGGCTTGATATTTTGGTAAATTTTTTTTTCTATATGAATGTAACAAAATCTCAAAATATAAACTTATTTTTTTTTAAATTATAAAAAGTAGAGGTGATTAAAATTTTGAATTTTCAGGTAACACAGTTATTTTCTAATCCGTATAAATTTCTACAAAACTTTATGGATTTTACTTTATCATGAGGGTTTTTTGTTCAGTTTTTCATGTACTTTTAAATGACTAAAAAGTTTTTTTTAAAACTAACCTTAATTTTTTAACCCCTTTTCTCATCTTAAAAAATTTTATTGTTATTTTTATTTGAAAGATAAGATTTTTTTTCAACAAAACTGTATAAATATAAAAATGGAACAACATTGGGTTTAAGAGAAAATGTAAAAAAAAAACTATTTTTTTTAAATTTTCTCGCCAAAACAATGTTGTCCTATTTATACTGTTTTATTGGGAAAAATTTCGACTTTCAAATAAAAATAATAAAAAAATTTTTTAAGGGAAGAAAAGAAGTTAACCCTTTGCGGCACACATTTTTCATTCCATTCAAAAATACAGATGATCACACCTATAAGGATTTTTGTGGTCGCTGATTACGAATCTAAAGTCAGTTTTTAAAAATTCAAAATGGCGGATCCAAAATGGCGGATGACTTTTTGAAAACTTAATGCAATTCGCTTGAAACTTGTTCTCGGGGGTTTTTGGGGTCGGTGATTGCGAATCTGAAATCAATTTTTGAAAATTCAAAATGTCTGATCCAATATGGCGATCGATTTTTAAAATCTAATGCAATTTGCTTGAAACTTGTTACTGTTGTCGCTTTTGGTCAGCTTTTGTACTACAATGAGCACATATTGGATCCACATTTTAAATTTTGAAAAACTAACATTGGATTCGTAATCAGCGACCCGAAATCCCCCGAGTAACAAGTTTTAAGCAAATTTCGTGGATTTTTAAAATTTTTCGGTCGCCATATTGGATCCGACATTTTGAATTTTCAAAAACTGACTTCAAATTCGTAATCAAAGACCCTAAAAACCCCCGAGTAACAAGTTTCAAACGAATTGCATTAGATTTTCAAAAAGTCATCCGCCATATTGGATCCGCCATTTTGAATTTTTAAAAACTGATTTCAGATTCGTAATCAGCGACCCCAAAAACCCCCGAGTAACAATTTTGAAGCGAATTGCATTAAGATTTGAAAAAGTCGGCCGCCATATTGTATCCGCCATTTTGAATTTTTAAAAACTAACTTCAGAATCGTAATCAGCGACACCAAAAACTCCCGAGTAACGAGTTTCAAGCGAATCCAAGCAAGTTTTAAAAAATTGTCCGCCATTTTGAATTTTTAAAAACAGACTTCAGATTCCTAATCAGCGACCCCAAAAACCTCCGAGTACAAAATATTGGTTCCCTTTTTGCCTAAATTTTCGGTAATGAATTTTTTTTCCAAAAATAATGAGTTTTTTGACAATTATTTATTTATAATTTTTTATAATTTTGCGTAAATATTGTTACTTTTATTTTCGTTTCATTCAATAATATGTTCTCATTCACTTTCAAAAAAAAATTAATGAATATTGCTTAAAAAACTTTAAATACAGTAAGAAAAGTTGTAAATAAAATAGATGGTAATCTGGGTTACCACTGTGCCGCAAATGATTAAAAATGAAAAATAAGGAATAATTTTAAAAAAATATGGTTAAAAATTTTTTTTGAAAAAAAACTTTTTATTTGAAAATTATATGAAAAACTGAACAAAAAATCTTGATGATAAATTATAATCCATATAAAGTTTTGTAGGAAATTATACGGATTAGAAAATATTATTTATAATTTATTATTTTTTTAATTATTATTTATAATTTTTTAAAAAATAAATTTATATTTTGAGATTTTTTGTTACTTTTATATAGGACAATAATTTATCAAAGTATCAAGCCTGTATAATTATCATGGAAATTTAAAAACAGACTTCTGTAGCAACCCTGGAGATATAATTTTATCATTTAAACTACTTTTTGTAGAGATGTTAGAATTTTTTTTTTTTCTTTCCCTCTCATAATTCTGTCAACTAAACGGATACTTTTTATTTTCCATTATACCTCCTTGATGGCTTCCTTTCCACGGCGTTTCTTCACTCTTGTCACGAAAAGGCCAAGAAGAAGAGGGTGGCGCCCGCCACTACAGAGGAGCCAGCTCGTAAAAGATTGGCCGAGGCAGTTACCGCGCCGGAAGTAAAGCAAAAGAAGGTCACAAAAGACAAGCAACCGACGGAAAGTGGCGGTGGCGGCGTTGGTGGTGGTGGTGGCAATGGAAACAAGAAAAAACGCAAGAAAAAAGAGGTGATCGATTATTCGGCAACGCAAACTGAGAATGAAAATAATGGAACAGTTGGCGTTGGTGGTGCAGTTGGTGCCGGAAGTGGAGGTGTAACTGACAATGCTGATCCAAAGAGTAAAGTGCGATCATGGCTCTTGGCGTCACAATGTCGTGTTGATCCACCAACTTCTGCTTTATCAAAAAGTAAATCGACTCCAGTTGGTCTTACAACGCCTGCGAATGTTAATTCAAGGCCCAATCCAGGACGAGTGAAACACGTGACATTAAGAAGACTGACTGATCCAAAATCACGAAGTTTAGGATCACTCGCGAAAAATAATAATGATAATAATAATAAAACGGATCGTGTGAGGCTACAAGTTGTTTATAAGCCACCATTTAAATTCAGTGTGAAACTTCGTAAAGCCGATAAAGTTGGACAAACACCTGGCGTACATGGACCAACAAGAAATGCGGGACCAAGAACGGGAGTGCTTGTTAGAACGAAACGAGATAAAACACGAATTGCACAAACAAAACAAATTCATGCTCCAAATAAAACTATTAATGCATGCATTCCTGAACCACCGACATCGGATCTTCATACTGTGCCCTCTGACCTTGAGGTTCTTCTTTCTGAGAGCGAATTTCTTTTCTCGGATGCGTGATCCCAGGGGATTCGTTCACGACCACAATTTACGATATACGATTCTTTGTCGAGATGACGATAAACATTGTCAGGTGAGAGAAAATTTTTGTACTTTCAAATATATTTTTTCTTTATCAAAAATTAAAATTTTACCATTTTTTTTTCGCAAAAAGATTACTTTTTTTCTCAAGTTTATGATTTTTAAAAATCCAATATGTTCGCATTTGACCAAAATTTTAATCTTTTTCCCCCTCTACAGAATTTTAATTTAATACAATTCTCATTCAATCGAATTTTATTTGATTCGAATTTTTATATAACAGAAATTACGATTTGTCCGAAATTACAAATGACCGAATAAACAATCGACAGAAAGATCTTTCTGTCGATTATTCGGGCATTTGTAATTTCGGACAAATGAAAATTCGGTGTCTTAAAAATTCAGTGAATTGGAATTTTTGTCATTTAAAAATTCGAATCAAATAAAATTTGATTGAATGAGAATTGTGTTAAATTAAAATTCCATTAAATTATAATTATTTAAAATAAAAAGTTATGTAAAGAAAATGACTGTAAAATAAAAATTCTGCCAAATAAAACTTCGGTAGTTAAAAATTTTTATTAAGTAAAAATTTGTATAAAAAGAAATTCTGTCAAATGCTAAATTTGAAAAATGAAAATTCATCAACAAAATAATTATTTTTAAAAAATATTCTTTAAAATGAAAATTCTAATTTATGATTTTTATAGGATAATCATTCCCTTGGTAAAGTATACTTACCAATAATATTAAATTTTATGCAAATTGCAGTCCAATATAAGAAAATTCTTTTAATTGAATCACTTTAGAAATTTTGCATCTATTGCATCATTTTGGTCCTAAAAACATAAAGGATAAAAAAAAAAGAAAATCTTAATTTTTGATCCTTTAAGAATTTGTGTTTTTTAAAAATCCATACGTGAGATTCTGATGAATTATTAAAAAAAAAGCGTGTATAAAAATTGGCGATGGAAAATAGTAAAAATTGTAAAAGTAGTTAAATATTTAAAAGGAAAGATTACTGAAATTTCAACTTATTTTTTTCATTCTGTTTTTTTAAATTAGAATGTTTGAAAATCCATATGAAAGATTCTAAAAAAAAAGGGTTAAAATAAGTGTGACTTTCCTTAATTCAAATTTCTCGTTGATATAATTTTATATAGAGACAAATTTAGTAAAATAGAATTAATATTAAATAGAATTATATAGAATTTTTATTCAAACGAAATTTTATTTATTAGAATTTCTATTTATAAATAAATTTTTTTATGGTAACTTCTCTAATTTTTCTCAATTTTTATTTAACAAAATTTTTTAAATACTTCATAAAATGGAACATTTAATTATCAGAATTTTTGTTAATTCGAATTTTTACTTAACATAATTTTTTATATTAACCGATTTTACATTGAACGGAATTTTTATTTAAAAGAGTTTTCATTTATCAGAAATTTTATTTAACAGCATTTTTATTTAGGCAAATTTTAAAATATCAATTTTTATTTCACCAGAGTGGCCATCCAACCTTGAAAGCTGGAAAAACGACGTGAATTTAGTTATGCCTTGAAAAAAAAAACATGAATTTACCTTGATTTTTCTCTAAAATCTCGGATTTTTAAAAATCATTCATTTTCCGAGAATAACATTCCGATTTTTTAAATCATCCTAAACTTTTAATTTATTTTGACATTAAAAGATTTTTGAAAAATAAATTTGGTCAATTTAAAATAATAATAATAATAGGATTATATTTTCAATTTGAAAGATTTAATTGAAAATTTAATTTTAAAATTTCTTTAAAATTGAAAATTTATATTTTGATATATAAAATTTTTTAATTTTTTTCAACAAAATTGAGAGAAGAACATTGAATTTTATTAATAAATTTTTATTTCGAATTTTATATGGTGTAAAATAAAACTAATCGACTTTTTTTTTTGAAGTTCTATAATAGTATTATTTTATTTTAAATTTAAATATAGAGTACCAAAAATCGTTTCCCATAAAAGTCTCATTGCAAAGAACCCAAGAGAATTTGATTTTTTTGCTAAATCATTTGAGTGATTGTTGAACAAAAATTGATTGATGTTTGTACAATTATAGTTTTTTTTTTTTTTTTTTTTTTTAAATGAAAAAGCAGATTTTTGTTCTACTTTTATATAAAAGAAAAAAATTTAATTTTAAATAATTTTTTTTCATTTATTTATTTTTAAATTAACCTTTTTTGTTTTAAAATTCATAAGTTCAAATTTTTATGAATTTTTCTAACTCGTGAATTATTTTAAAAATTTGACTAAAATAAAAAAATTCTTTTAAATAAAATTAATTTCAGATAGAATACCCGAATTCTAATTAATTATAATTAAAAAAATTTGCTGACACCAAAGTAATAACTTATATTATAAAATAAAATAGATAAAATATTCTAAAATCATTTTTCTTTGACAGCATTAACTGGGTTACATTAATTTCAGGCAATATTTTCAACGACATCCACGGGGAAAATATAATTTCCTCGCCTAGAAGGGAAATAATTGTAATCTAATTTACCGAAGAAGAGGAGCTAACAACCTCTCGCAAAGCTTTTAAGAAAAAAAAAAATACAAAATTGAGAAGCAGAGTTGATTAAACTGGTTCTTAATAAAAAAAAAAAAAAAAAAAAAAATCGCTGATAAATGAGAGGTACCTATGTAAATAAAAACTTTTTCACTGTGATTTACTTTTCTCATCGTTGACAGAAAGTTTTCTTTATTGATACGATGGTAAAAATTCTTGTACTTAAACTGCTAGTCACGATTCTCGCAATGATTCATTTAAGTGCGATGGGTCGTGTAAATAAATAAATAAGTAAATAAAAAATGACTTAACCAGTGTGCTTAAAACATAAATGTAGTTCGATTTTAAAAAGCGAAACGTATGCACACTTTGAAATGTATATGAATTTTCTACGTGTGCTTTTGAATGGAACGAACTATATATATATATATAAAAAAATTGTTTACAATTTACGGAAATTGTCACAATTTAATTTTAATTGCAAACTAAAATTGCGATTAATTTAAAAAAAATGAACGAATGCGATTTTGAAATTTATTTATATTCCATCATGAAGCCGTTAAAATATATATTTAAGGTAGTTCTTTCAATGACAAACGTTGCCAAAAATTCCACTTGGAATTTTACATTTTTTATTTCAATCAAAAAATCGTGAAAAATAAAATTAAATCAATCGTTTTTTTAAAATAATGATTCAAATTTATTAATTCTACAAAAGAAAAGTAATTTAAATTTGGATATATGAAAATTTTTTTCAATTTCCATGTTTTAATTTTTTTTTGGCATAGTCGTTAAATTTAACTACCTGAACCTAGTCATGTAAACATAACTATGGGGAAACAAATATTTTACTTGACGGAATAAAATATATTTCGAACGTGTGTAATATTAATAATAATAATAATAATTAGTCAATATTATTAGAGTCGATGAACTTTGGACCAAATGTAAATGTTGCACGATTATTGATTCTCTGGTTTGCCTATAACGATTATTAGGCATTGTTAAAATTATAATTATTTCATGTGTCGCTGATAATGTTAGAGCTAACAGAACATTGCCATAATATACGTCAGCTATTTCACCGTAATGTGATATGTGCCAATACATAATAAACCATAAACCACCGCGCACTGCCCCTTCAAAATGAAAATTTCATTTTTCGAAAACAAAAACCAAAAGAAAAGAATTGAACATAATAATTTTTATCAAAAACAGATTTTATAATCCAAAAAATAATGCAAAGCTATTTCACATTTTTACAATATTTATGAAAATATTTTTATGAATTTCATTCTCTAAATCCAAATCAATGAAAAATTGATTTAAAACATAAATTAGAGATTTTTAATAGTACAATAAAATTTGAAAATTATCATTTAATTTAATTCTCTGATTCAAATCGGGAGATATTAGGCAATGTATTGTAAATTTTTCACTAATTTAGATTTAGAGAGTAAAGAAAACAAAAAAAAAGAACCTATATTAAAGTGATGACCATCATTCAAACAGTCTGTCCGTCCAATTTTTAATTAACAATTATTATTCTCTAAAATTGGACTCGATTTTCCTTTGAAAATTATTCATTGAATTTTGTTCCATGATGCTAATTAGAAATGCTTATAATTATAAAATAATTTAAACGTGCAATTAGAAAATCATAAGACTATAGTAATAATGTAAAAATTACATGATGATACTGTCATCATGTTAATTAATAATAATTATATTTTTGTGATCTTGTAAATATATTGTTTTATTTTTATTTTAAAGAAACTTACCGAAAACCGAAATGAAAACTTAAGCATTCCACTTCCATATTTATATTATAATTATATTTATTTGATTGAAGAACAGAATATGTATATATATATTTTCAGTAATGGTTCTTTAATTATATAAGTTATGATTATTAAATGATTGTTTAAAAATTTTAAGCTTGCATACAATGTTCGTCAAAATGATCATTTATTTGTATGTTGTAATTTTTTTTTTACAAAATAAACTAAATTAAAAATTTTAGTTTAATTTTAATCTAAATTTAAAAAAAAATAAAATGAAATAATTTTTAAAAATAAATACCGTCAACTGCGGCAATTATGGTATACAACTTTTGAAATTGATAAAAAAAATAATAATAAAATTTTCTTTTGAGCTTTTAAGTTTAATTATAATTATTTAATTTAATTAATTTTCAAAAATTATTTCCAGAATATGTAGTTAAAAGTTTTTATACAATTTAATTCGAAGAAAATTTTTTTTTATTTTATGAGCAAAAAGAAATGACTCATTGTCAGATATAAATTTTTTTAAAATTTCAATATTCATAATAACCCCCCGGTTGATGGTAGTAAAATAAAAATAATTTTGTAAGATATTAAATTTTTAAATAAATGATTATTATTTAAAAAAAAATTTCAATTCTTATCTGAATTTTTGTTACATTTAATGTATTTATATTTTTATTTAATGCCATTACTTTATAAATTTGCGTTTTCATATTTCAATGAGTCGATAAATACAATAATTGTAGATATATAAATTTTCTCGTTTTTCCCGAAACAATGTGATTATATTTTATAAAGTTGTTATATATACAACTGAATTGTAATAAATTTATTATTCGCTTTTCTCCGATATAATTGCGAATAAATTTGTTGATTATATAGCTAGTTCGAATTTACCACACACATATAATATATAGAGAGAAAATATGACAAAAACAATTTTTTATAAAAAGTACTTTATTAATGTGTTGTATTCTTTAAATTTGAGAGCGATTGGAAATAATCGAAAATTCATCAATTAAATTATCATCCACTTGTTAGAAAATTATTGATTCATTTAATTTTATGTACATATAATCGATTCATAACTGAATGCATAGTTATTATTGAATAAACCTATAGTAAATAATTAATTGATGCATAACTATGAATAATATTAAACGTCTTCCACTTCGTTAATTATATATTCGAAGCCATTAATGTCACCGAAACTGTTCTATAAGTTTTTATTTTACTATATAGAACAATATTTTATTTAATTATTGAATTTTTTTATTTTTAACACTTAATTTCTTATTCAGAATCGTATTTTCATTCATTTGTAAACAAATTTTATTATTAGAATTATAACACCGTACTTTTGCTGTTGATAAGAAAAGAAAGTCTTCAACGAAATTTCTTGACGTTTTGTTTTTAAATCTCAACTGCTTATTTGCTTTTTTCGCTAACGTAGTTTGTCGTTGGTAAAAAAAAAAATTAAAAAACATGTCTCATTAAATATTTATTAACTGATTTTATCAATTGAATATAAATAATGATGAACAATAATTTAAATTAAAAAAAGAAATTTAAATCTTTTGCAAAAAAAAAAAAAATTGCTAAATATCTTAATGAATAATTTATCTATTTTTCATTTTTGAGTAAATTGTTGATTATTATCTGAATCTTCTGTATTCTATTAAATTCACGGTTTCATTCAATAAAAAAAGGGTCGAAAAAAGGGAAAAGCCAAAAAAAGAAGGGAAAATTTGATCCAAGAGATAAAGTTTTTGTGGAAAATATAAAAAAGTATCTTTGAAGGTCTAAACCTGTGATTTAGTGAACAGAACGGTTGCAAGGGTACAATAATGCGAGGATGAAATAGAGTTTGGTCATCTACTCGTTACAGTAAATCAGAAAAAGTAGTACATATTTCTCGTTGTGCCTGAAAAAGCAACGATGGTAGTTGAGATTTACGAAAAAAAAAAAACGTAAATAAATTAAGACACAAATATAAATCCACGATTTTTGTATAGGTTTGAACAGATCAATAAATATTAAAAAATTCTTTTTTCATAATCGAAGAAATTAAAGGGAAAAGCGAGTCTCATTTTTAATTAAAAACAGAAGAAAAAGAGTATTTTACTTTTTTTTTTTTTTTTTTAAACGCCTGAAACATTTATCGCGTACGTCGAACTATTAGATAATAAAAATTCATGTATTTTTACACGAACTTTGTGTAAATAATAATAATGGCTGTATAATTCGTGTACTGTAAATATATGTACTAATAAACTTTAGAATAATCTCGAAAAGTTTGTCTTAAAATTACTTTTATTTCCTCATAATTTAAAAGAAAAACAATTTTTTTTTCAGAAAACAGCTACATATATCGAAAGGAAAAAACAAACATTAAGAGTATGTACCAAGAATCGTTATCAAAATTAATCAACTTTATATTTGAATTGCATTTTGGAAAAACGTTTATTTTGGAAATTTTTCCATGAAAGGAATTTGTAATTCAAATTAGATGAAAATTGCATTTTACATTTTTAATTAACATAAATACATTAGTTTGTAAAATTAAAATTCATTATTTTCTAAAAAAAAATTTTTTTGTTGAATAATTATTATTACTACAAAATCTTGCCGTAATATTCATATTTATATCATTTAATGAAAATGACAAGAAATTGTAGAAAATGTGTAATTCAATTTCTCTCAGAGTTTAATATATTGCAATTATGAACTTGAAAGCACAATATTTGCCTATTAAACATACTATATATATTCAACTCAATTATTACGTGGCCCAGTTTTCAGTCGGCGCAAGTTTTATATTAATATAAAAATAGTAAGTCCATAACTTATGAAAAAAAAAAATAATAATTAATTGATATTCCATCTTATTAAAATTCATTCCGCTCATAATTTTTTTACCGTTCAGTTTTTCGTTCAAAGACTTTTCTCTTTGATATAATTCTTTTTTATTGTAAAAAAAATTTGTATCCTCTTGTCGAGTTTTATCTTCCTTTACTGCGCGAGTAAATATTTCAAAAAAAAAGTCCTTTGTCCCTTCCTTTTTTTTTGTGTTGAACTTCTTAATTTTCCGAAACTTTACCACTTATATGGATCTTATAATATTATATATTCTTCCTCGTGAAAATTATATTAAATACCTTAAATAATTAATTCTTACAAAAAATTGTTTTAAATTACAGATTTTTAATTTTTTTCATTTTCCCAATTTTTTTTTTCTCTATCTCGCTTTATTTTTGACATTTCGCAAAATTCAATTTGAATGGTAACAGTATATTTTTGCTAGTTAAATTTTTATATAAGGTATAGTGGTTTTGAAAAATCAAAAATTCGAATTTCAATATTTTTTTTTTTACTTTTTTTGCAAGATTTACTGGTATTACGGCGAGCAGCCAAGCATCGAACGAGATATCGAATTAGAAGGTTCAATTAAATTCGTTATAGCTTCGTAAAAATATTTTTCCAACTTAACAAAAAAATACGTATTGTTTAAAAAGCTTTGAAAAAAAACATTTTGGAGAAAAAAATTTATTTTCAGCTCCGACGATGTTTAGTCTGCCTGATTTGAAATACATTCGGTCTATACAAATTTTTTTTTGGACAAAAAATTAAAATTTGTATTAGAAAAAAAAATTTTTCTTTTCAAATCATTGATCATAAACTTTGTGATCATTACCGATATATTTTTTTAATATAAAAATCAAATAACATATTATTTAAATTATATATGGGCACAAATTTTCGAGTTATAAATTTTTAAAAATCTGGTTTTTTCGAGTTTTTTAAAAATACACCTAAATTTCAATATGACATCTATAACTCTAAAAGTATATTAAATTTAGGATTCATCACCAAGATACAAAAAAGTTTCGGTATTTCATCGACTTTCAAAATATGTTAACGAAAAAAACAATTTTTAATTTGTTTATAAAAAACAGTGATTTTTTATAAACAAATTAAATTTTTTTAAATTTGGGCGCGATTTAAAAAATTTGTTACACACATAAAAATAATATGAAAATTTTGTAATAAGTTTTGGAGTGGGCCTTATGATACTTTTGTTTATATAATTTGTTTAAAAAAAAGGTTTACTCTTTTTTCGTTATTGTTTTTATTTTTCAAAATAAAATGTATTTTAATTTGCTTTTCTGAGTTTACTAAAACATCCTGGTGCCCAAAACTCTTTTCATTTCAAAAAAAAAAAAAAAAAGAAAAAAAGTACAACCTAAACATTTTTTTTTATACAAATTATATAAACATAAGTATCATCAGGCCCACTCCAAAACTTATTACAAAATTTTCATATTATTTTTATGTGTGTAAAAATAAAAAAAAAAATTTTAATTCCTGCCAAATGTAAACAAAATTTAATTTGTTTATAAAAAATCGCTGTTTTTTCTAAAAAAAAAATTAAAAATTGTTTTTTTCGTTAACATATTTAGAAAGTCGATGAAAAACTAAAACTTTTTTGTATCTTGGTGATAATTCCTAAATTTAATACTTTTAGAGTTAGATGTCATTGAAATTAGGTGTCCATATAAATTATTTTTATTACAAATTTCATGGCTTTAAATGGAATTGAAATTATTTTTTAAAGCTGTGAAATTTGTAAGTCGACTTGAAAACCGGAAGAGGACGACCATTGCTGATTTGGATGCTGCTTTCGATACGTCTTGAAATGCAAATTCTATCGTGTTATCGACCAGCTATATAGCTACAGCTAAAGGCATGAATAATGCATACTGACCCACCCTTCGTCCCTTTTCCGTCTCTTCTTAAGCTTCTCCTATTCTACTTGCCCTATACTGTTAATGACAAACACACACACACACATACACATACATAATATTTGCTCCTTTACTTGAGACAAATTTCTCATTTATGGGGGGAGATGTACAACATTTCATAAAATATTATTGTTAATCCTACATTGAATATGTATGAGACGCGAAAATAATAATTTATATCAATATAATATGACATAAATCTCCACTTAAAATATCATACGGCGTTGATTTATATACACGCATTAAAATTACTACATAATAATAATAAGCTTAAAAGCTGAAAAAAAATTTTAATCTAATATGTTTTGTTCAGCATTTTTATCCCAAAAAATAAATATAAAATTTGCTATTCGCAATTAATTTATTTTTTAATTTTGGAATTTATTTTCGAAAATTTGTCAATTTTTATTATAGAAACAAAATTTATTTAAAGACATCTTTCTAAGAAAAAAAAGAGATATTTGTCCGATTATTAAATAATTATTTCGTATGTTTGAAAAATGGTAATTTATTTTTAAATACGTGTACTATAATTAATATGACAAATTTTTATGGATTTTAATTTGTAATTAGGGAATTTTGAATGATTTTCAATTTCAAAAAAAAATTCTTTTACTTTTTTTTCAAAATTAATCCTTTTTCATTTTTAATCCCATTTCTCTCCGTTGAAATTTTTTTTTGTTATATTTTTATTGAAAAGCTATGTGATCTTTTTTCCAACAAACTATGTAAATATAAAAATAGGACAACAATGCGTTTGCAAGAAAATGTGAAAAAATAGGGCAAAAAAATTGGTTTTATTTTTACATTTTCTCGCAAGTCCATTGTTGTTCAATTTTTATATATTTACATGCCGTCAATCGAGGCTATTATGCGGTACGAAAATCGCAATTTTTTTGTTCCATGCTTAACTAAAATTTTATAAACTTTATAGAAAAATGTTTTAAACTATTGATGTTGTTGACATTTGCAGTTTTTTTGTACATTTTATTAGAAATTTTTTTTTTTTTTTTTAATGAATTATATAAACTCAAATTAATAATAACCCCAATTGCTAGGCTATTTATGGTGCAAAATTTGTTTTTATTCATAAAAAAAGCAAAAAAAAAAAAAAATTTAACCCTATTTTTTAAAAATTATCTTTTATTTTTAATATTTTACCCCATTGCCCCTCTTTAATATATTTTTTGTTATTTTTATTGAAAATCTGAGTTTTTTCCAACCATGAAATATAAAAATAATAATGCGCATTATTGTTGAAAAACAGGGGAAAAAATGAGTGTTCACAATCAGAATCAGTGAAAATTTCACTGAATTCAAATCAGTGGCTCAGTTTTCTTTAATTCGCCAGTTAAATTTCACTGAGTATCAGTGATTTTTACTGATTCCCAGTGAAATTCAACTGGTGAATTAAATTAAACTGAGAGCCACTGATTTGAATTCAGTGAAATTTTCACTGATTCAGATTTCGAGTGTTTTTTTACATTTTCTTACAAATCGATTATTATTGATATTATTATTGTTTCAAATAGAATTTATTTAATTGAAATAAAAAATTATTTGATTCAAGTAAATATTTATTTGATAATAGTCAAGTAACCAATTATTTGAAATAAATAAATTTTTTTTCAGTGTACTAAAGTATTATAAGTACAAGCCAATCCAATCATTTTAAATTTTCGATGGTTTTTTCCTTAGAGAACGCTTCATATCCATTTTATCTAATTAATTCAATAAGAAATAATGTAATAAAATGGATACTATTATTTTTTTTTTAAACTAAGACTGTAATAATTATATCTCGTTAAAAAATATAATACACTTAGGAATATTTCGTTAGATATGAAAATTACTTATTTTTTTTCTTTCTTATTTTCTTAAGAAGAAATAAGTGAGTTTAATATATATATATATATAACCCCAGGACCTTTTTCGTACTTAACTCTATAAATTCACAATTCATACATTTACATTTTGGTATGTGTGTTAAAGTTTATGTCTCCCAGTCGACCCTCGGGCTAGAAGCTTTATTACAGGTCAGAGTCTCTTTATTTTCTGGAAGATTATATATAGCTACATTCTACATGTATATATATTGTACATATATGTATAATAGTTGAGAAGATTCTGATTTAATTTACATAAGCAATTTCATTTATTTACAATTTTTTTTTTTATTTAACATTATATATTTAATTTACCAGAAATTTTATCAATGCAAGTTATTTTTTTTTTAATTACTGGCGGAAAATAAAATTTTTATAATTTAATATTTATAGCATAAAACGAAATACTTTGAAATATCAATATCCGCAGTTAATAATTAAAATAACACGAAATGAGAATTATTTTACTTGAAATAGTTTTAAAATTAATGAACAGAATTTATATTATTTTCTATTTAAATAAAAAATAAATCAGCTTAAAATGTACAAATTAAATGTGATTAAAAATTAATAATATGTAATATAATATATATATTATAATATATAATAATAATTATTATAATAATAATAAATACAATAATAAAAATAATAATAAAAAATAAACAATCTTATGTTCACTGCACGTTGGGAGAAAATACTTCCTTCTTCGGTATTGATCTTTCCTTAAACAATTTTGGCAATTATTATCAATGCTCCTTCATCAGCAAATTTCAATTTTTTTTTTTTTTTTGAAAAAAGTCTTCTTATCAAATTTTGTTGATAACATGTTTACTGATAAGGATATAAAGTGGGAAGAATTAAAAACTTGTAATTTTACTTCGTTATCGTTTAGAAAAGAAACCGGAACAACAATATACGTTGTATATAATGTTGAAAGCTTGAAAAATATTGAATTCTTTTTTTATTACAGTTTTAACGAATCTAGTGTAAGCAACGTATGTACATATATGTATATATAATAAGTCATTTAAAAAAAAAAAACCCACAAAAAAAATGCCAAATATTTTAGTTTTTATTGCAATATTAACACGTGAGTATAAAATTAGTGATCGTCACTACTATATATTTAAATTATTGTTCTTGAGTTTTAGCATTATTTTCCTGTTATATTAAAACATATTTAATTGATTTTTTCTTTAAATTTAACATTTTAAAATAATTACAATACGTAACCTGTGCGATGTTTAATATTAAAATTAAAAATTGTTTCAAAAATTAAAAAAAAAAAAAAAATTTTAAATACCTTTTATTATAACTAATTGAAAGTTGCACTTTTTATACTATTTATTTATTTATAGTTTGATAAGAGTGATTATTATCAGACTAATGCATAACTTTAAACTTTTCCTATATATATAATGTAAACAAAATGTGCAAAAATTTTACAAAAATCGATATTTAATTTAATTAAAATTGTATAGGTGCAAATCTATATGAAATTTGAACTTATGAATAATTTAGTCACGGGTTTGTGTACATTTAATGAAAATAAAGATTTTTCATGAAATAATAAAAATTTACCAACAATGGAACAACCACGAAGAAAATTTTTAAGGATACAAATGAAAACAATTCTTTCTATTACGTTGAAGTTTCTTTTAAAAAATTTTTGTCTAGTTATAATTGTTTATTTTTTTATTATTATAAAAAAAAATATTTATTTCAGTACAATTGCATAATGTTGTTTGTCAAAGGAGAATAATTGGTGGAGAGGATATTGATATATCTTTGGTACCATATATGGTAATATTTTTGTTTCGGAAATTTCTTCTCAATAATGCATGCAGTTAATGTGAAAAAAAACTTTTTTTTTATCAAGTACTTATTTTACAGCTCTCTTACATGTTGAACGGCAGACACGTTTGCGGAGCTTCTGTGATTAGTAAAGAATGGGGAATTACAGCAGCACATTGTGCAACAGCGTAAGTAATTTTTTAATTTACCGCCAAAACGTTCAAAACTCAATAAAATATATTTTAAAATACATCTTCATAACTTCGGGACATTGAAAATATTTCAATTTCATTTCAAATAGTTCTATTTTACTTTAAGGGGAAGCATTACCTTTATTTTGACCCCTTTAAATTTCAACGTTCTCACGATGTTATATGTATTTCTTATTGTATCATTTGGGTACTAAAAACACTTGAAAATTTTTAATTATTTTTGTGGTACAAATAATTATCAATAATTTATTTATTATAAATGAACAAAATTTAAGTAATGCACGCTTGATAAATATTTCTAATGCGTTGTCAATTAATGCAATTAATAATTTCCTATTACACAATATCATAATCGACGTATATGACATTTGTAAACAAACAGGGTTGAGAAACAAGAGCCCAAAATATGTTCGTCCACAGCGAATTTCAATCCTACCCAACTCTGCTTTGGACGAACATATTTTGGGCTCCTGTTTCTCAACCCTGTTTGTTTCCAAATGTCATATATGTCGATTATGATATTGTGTAATAGGAAATTATTAATTGCATTAATTGACAACGCATTAGAAATATTTATCAAGCGTGCATTACTTAAATTTTGTTCATTTATAATAAATAAATTATTGATAATTATTTGAACCACAAAAAAAAATTAAAAATTTTCAAGTGTTGTGATTGTGAACTTAACTTAAATCTTATGTGATAAACATAAATAAAGGTTAGTGTATTTCATTTTATTTCGATATAAATTTTTTCTTATTTAATTGCTCGCAATTTATAAGTTTTCGCTTCTCTCTTTCTTAAAATTCATAATAAAAGTATTTTTAATATCTGAATATTTCAATTTCATTTCATTTTAATTTATTAGTAAATACGTAAAAAAAAATTGAAAATAAACCTAAAAAGTGACTTTTCTTAAAACCGAAGTGATCGATTTTTTATTTTTCAAATATTCAATATAAAATATTCATTTAAAAAAACCAAAAATATTTATTAAATTTTCTTAATTTAAAAATTAAATTTTTGACGTGAAATTAAAACATGATAAAAGTCGCCCTATTCTGATCCCTTCGATTTGTATGTTGCTGAGGTGCAAGGGATAGAGAGTGGTGGGAGATGTGAGAGTTAGCGAGGTAAGGTGGAAGGGAGATTTTCGGAAAACGAGCAGAGTGCGATGTCACACTGTAATATCATTTGAAAAAAAAATCGATATAGTGATCGATTTCAGCAAATATATGAGTAATTAAGGGGCTATACCAGTGTAATCCATGAAAAATTAGGCGATTTTTGGGGAATTTTTTTTAAAAGAAAGTACTCGATAGCATGATTTGAAGTCTTTTGGACATAATAAGGTATATTTTTATATATTTTAAGATTTTTTTTACAAAAATAATGAAAAATAACGGAGTTATATGCTGTCTTCGGAGGTGCCAAAAAAAAAATGTTCCCTAACTGCTGACATGATTCCGGCCGAATGAGTAGCTGAAACAAAAAGAAAATTAAAAAGGTTCTTAAAGTTGAAGGTATTTCCTATACAATGACCTACGATTTTTGAAAAATATCAAAAATTAACAAAATGGCGTAGTTCTGAAAAAACTGTTGTTTTTAGGGGTAAAACAATGGTCGTTTGTTTAATGCCAAATTGACAATTTTCAACCAATCAAAAAGATCGTAGGTCATTGTATAGTAAATATATTCAGGAATACTCAGTTTCAATTTGAAGTCGATCGGTCAATTTCTCGTTGAGATATGATGTCAGCAATTTTGAAAAATGTTGTTTCGAGAAAAACGCGTTTAAAGTTCGTCTATAGTCAGGTGGAGCGGTTTATACCTGCGAGCGGTCGCACTTTGTCCATAAACTACGTTACTTATTTTAGGGGGGGAAGGGGGTCAAAAAGTCTTAAAAAATGCATATAACACAATGATAACGAGGGGGGAGGGGGTCTAAAAAGATTGAAAAATTGGTAACGTAGTTCATGGACGGCTCCTTAGAATGCTGCCATTTAAAAACTATTCAAGATACGACGTTGCCGTTTTCACAGGATATTTTTGAAAGTATAAACTATCGAATAAGGAAAAAAATCGATTTTTTGAAAGTGTCACACTGGTATAGCCCTTTAAGATCCTGAAAATAAAGAACTGACAATACCTTAAATTAAGCTTTCATTAAACATTTGTCGTTTATAATATCACGTGGTCAGTTGGAAAACCCCCTACCTCCCAAGTGATCAACCGTGATATTTTCTATGACCCCCCCCCTTCTTTGAATCACGTGATTTATGGACAACCCTTAACATCATACATGATTTTTCAATTAATATATATATTATTTTATCATATATTAATTTTTAAATAGATATCGACGGGATCCCTTGAAAGAAGTGACAATTCGAAGTGGAAGCTCATTAGTTGATGAGGGTGGAGTGATTCATAAGATTACAAAAATTATATGGCATGAAAAATATGAAACTATTGATAATCATGATGATATAGCGGTATTTAAAGTGAGACCACTTTTTACATTTAGTGCAGTGACTCAACCTGTGAATTTACCCGTAAAAGGAGTTTCTTTTCAACAAGAATGGGGAGTTGTTACAGGATGGGGTTATTTTATGGTATAATAGAACAATTTTATCAAAAGACAAAAAAATATGTATTAAGAAAAAGGAACAAGATTTTAATTGAAAATAACAATACATTCAGGCGGATAATCCTGTGGTGGCTAGACAATTACAATATTTAAGGATACCAAAAGTGAGTATGGAGGAATGCCTTGAAGATTACAAAGGACTCTTCAAAGTTCATCCAGGTGATGTCTGTTATGGTTTCAGGCAAGGTGGAAAAGACAGTTGCCGGGTAAGTAATTATATTATTTTTTAAATAACCAAAAAAAATATATTGAACAATAAATCAATAGTACATCAGAGAAAGTTATAAACACGCTAAATTAGATAATTTACAAAAATTTCTTAATTTTTTACAAATAATTTTTATAGTTTTATATACAAATTTTTTATATATATTACATATATATTTTTACAGAGTAACTTTGGTCGAAATATATTTTTTAAGTTTTCTAAAACCTTCTTATATGAGATGATTCGTATTTTTTTTATTGTTAAATAATATTTATATTTTTATCTTGTTCTTCTTCTTAAGGTCATGTGATTGTTGTGATTTCCGCAAGTTTTCTCGCAAATTATTTTATAGATTGAGCTAAAATTTTGTGCACAACTAAAAAACAGTGTAAGAAATCATTGTCATGTGCCAGAGTATATTAATATTTTGACAAAAAATTTATTCTTAAAAAATTGCATATTTATTTAAAATGACTAAAATCTATTGTCTCCATATAGAATTTTCCTCAAGTAGGTATTTAAAAATAAATTTTTTCATTAAATATTAATAGAGAGATGTCTTTTAAATTTTGTGACCTCTTGGCTTATATTTATTCAATTACATCAAAATTTGACGCGTTTCGATACAGTATTCTGCATCATTATCAGAAACAATCTGTAAGAAGACAATAATTGGGGTAAATGGGGACAAGAGGTTTTGGAGCTTAATTTATAGTTTTAAAATGAAGTTCAACGTCAATATTTTAACCTCAGATCACCTGCAAGAGGTTTTGAGTATTGCCAAGCTTTTATCTTGACAATTGGCAGCAAGATAAAAAAAGTTATCGCTCAATGCATAAAAACTTGAAAATCAAAGTCAAACTGTTTCAGTATTTTGTCTCGCATTTCAAAGAAAACAGACTTAAAAATCATACCAAATTTTTTTCTTATTCCTTATGACTCCTATAACAGAAATTCACTTGAATTTTTCATTTTTGTCAATTTGGTCAATAATGACAAGCTGTCCCCATTTACCCTGAGTTTTCAAATTTTTTGGGTAAATAGGGACAGTTTGTCATTATTAACCAAATTAACAAAAATCAAAAATTCAAGTGAATTTCTGTTATGGGAGTCATAAGGAATAAGAAAAAAATTTGACTTAAAAATTTTTAAGTCTGTTTTTTTCAAATGCGAGACAAAATACTGAAATAAAAAAAAAATAAAAAAATTTCAATTAGTTCAACTATTATATATCTACTACAAATTTTTTTTCAAGTTTTTTCATCCCTTAATATAGTAATATACTTAAGGAAACTTTTTTCTTAAAACTTTCTTATAAACTATGCTGTCCCCATTTACCCCAAATTTTATGAAATTTTCTAAATTTTGGGGTAAATAGAGACAGTCAGTTTCGTGCGTTTAAAGCTTATCTAAATTTTTTTCTGCTGCATAAAATTAATCCTGGGAACGTAAATAACAACTTTAAAAAAAAATAAACCCGCGAATATTACGTTTTAAAGGAAGAAAGTTACGTAATTTGTGAAAAATAGCGATTTTGTCCCCATTTACCCCAACTGACCTTACTATTAAATATTAATACTCTGGCACATAACATAGCGATTCGTCATAATATTATTTTAGAATTCTTCGCAAAATTTTAGCTATAAATATTTTGCGAGAAAACCTGCGGAGAATATTTACATGTGAAATCACAATAATCACATAACCTTAAATAAAAAAAATTGTGATGTCTCAGGGCGACTCAGGTGGTCCATTAGTAAACGATGACAAAATACTCATTGGAATAACGTCTTGGGGTAGAGGATGCGCTGAAAGATTTTCACCAGGTCTCTATATCGAAACATTGTTTTATCGTAGCTGGATTAAATTGCACACTGGAGTATAATTATTATACATTTGTAAATAAACTGTATTATATTACATTCCAATGTTCAATTTATTTAACTAGAAAAAAAAAAAAAAAGTAAAAAAAAAAGTAATTGAGAGTAAGCGTAATTCGGTTTTTTCGCCAAACCGAATTCAGCAAGTTATTACCACCTATTCTTTTCTTTTACTCCCAATTACTTTTTTTTTTACTGGGGTCTTATCTAACGATTTTCGAACGTGGAATCCTTATTTTTGCAGATAATGTGTACATTTTCATACGTGTAAATTTTCTATATTGTACGTGACATTGTCTGAGTGTTTATCTCATATAATATAAATCCCTTGGAACGTGTTTTCCCGTACTCACTCATCTTGAAATCCTGCAAAACGCACGGACTTTTAGACGATAGGTTCTTGTGATACAGCATCCCCAGATCCAGGGAGGATTCAACTGGAGGACGCGTAGACGAAATGCGGTTATGCAACAACGTAGTAAATAACACCGACATCAACCTGTTTACTTTCCTTCCGACAGCTAAGAGCTCACTATAAATCCTCCCATTCGCAGAATCCCGCTACGCTTTATGGAAATTTTCTTCCAACACACTTTGCATATACTATATAGCAGCATAACGCCCATATATGTATATATAACAATGCGAATATCGAATTCAAATTTAACAATATATATTTTCTAAACAGATTTTTTTTCAATTTTCCCCTAAATTATTTTAGAAAAAATTTCTTTTAGAGAGAGTAAATAGTAGAAAACAACTTCTACTTGATTTATTATTATTATTAATAATAATCGTCATATTTATTTCAAACAATGAGTCGCACAAATATTGAGAATTATATTGGAAATAAAAGAGTAAATTAACGAAAAATTAAAGATGTCGACAAAAAATGTAAGTAGATTCTGTAATAAAATTATTAATAATTAGACGCTCATTGTTCTTGGGTTCGTCCAATTTCACCCTCCTTGAGATTAAGATTAAAAATTAAATTTCTATGATAAATTAATATTTCAATTATAATAAATTTACTGGCGCCTGACAAACTTTTTAATAAATTTTATAATACATGAATTCACATAGCCTTTTGAACCCGACCGCACGTGTGGTGAGGAGTATTTAATAATTTAATTTTTTTTTTGACGATAATAAAAACTCCTGTTTTAGATAATTTTTCTGAAAAGTGTATAACTATATCTTCCAAAATTAATTATTAACTTTTCTAATATTTTTGTTTTCGTTTTAAAAACCATTTTTTAGTTTGAGGTTATGTTTCCGGTAAGAAGGTGGATTGAAAAGGATAGAAACTCTTTTATCTAATTTAATGTCGTTTTTGTCCACAAACAGATGAATTCCGAATGAAGAGATAGCAGGATTAATTAATTAGAATTAACTAGTTTACACATTTTTAAATTATAATAAAATATAAATAAGAATAAATTTTAAATAAAGATAGTATTTACATATGGGTGATTCTCCAAAAACCGGTCACTTTCGAGGACTTAAACATTTTTTTAAAAAGTGATTAGAAGTTCGATTTTTTTTTATTAATTTCTATTTATTGGGATCAAAACAAGTTATATGTCAAGTGATTAAGCTACAAAATTATTTTAAAGGCATTGGGGAGACTTTTAATAAAACGCATTTTTTATATTAGTGTTATTTTGGAGTTCTTCATGAATAAAGGAAAAAAAATGGAAATTTTTTTTAAAAATGGCTCAGATTAAGGATAATAAGATTGTTTACAATTAACCACAGTTTGTACATTTTTAATAAATAAATTTGAAAAACTTAAACAATAAAAAAATCAAAAACTTCAGGAAAACGTAAATAACTTTGAAAATTCTAACACATTTTTACACTATTTTATTCATTCTCTGAAAGTATTTTTCATTATATTCTGTATAATATATTTCTAATATATTATAAAAATTTTTAATTATCAAATCAGTTCTAAGACCAGTAACAACTTATTCTATAAAATGGAATAAAATAAAGAACAGAAATGACATGTAAAAAATAAACGAGAAAACTAACCTCAAACACAATTCAAGGGCGTATCAACGAGGGGCACTGAAATTTATATCTTTTACTATAAATTATAAGTTAACTGGTTTATTTTTATTGTATTTAATTAAATGTATAAACCGTGCACGGAGAGAAAAATCTGCCTTTTATAGTATAGAAAGGTTTACATTTAATGCACAGAAATTTTCTATGCTATATAGGCATGAAATTTGAGTAATTATAGTACAATCGTATGTCTTTTTAGCATGAAACTTGTCTATGCTAATAAAGTTTGTCATATAGCCTCTTATTACATACTTATTATACTTTTAATCCAACGGCGCCATGCGAAGATCGCACATAACATCATCCTACTATGTTTGCATAAGTTCTATGCTTTTTCGGGGATAGACTCTTGCAACTGGCGATTAGGCCACGCCCACCTTTACTTAATTGGAACTGCCCTAATCGCCAGTTGCAAGAGTCTATCCCCGAAAAAGCATAGAACTTATGCAAAAATAGTAGGATGATGTTATGTGCGATCTTCGCATGGCGTTGATGCTATTAAACTACATGTTTTGTACTATAGAAGCATATATACTATGCTTTTTTAGTACGGACAAATACTATCCTAAAAATTCTCAAATCTTTGCTCTATTAGTATGAAAAGTTTAAAGAAAAATAGCAGCAATCTATTTCATACTATAAAAGGCAGATTTTTCTCTCCGTGTGGGAAAATTTAAAGTTTATTACTTGTTTTAAGTACATTTTCAGGCACGGGTACATTTTTTGCTTGCTTCACACCTACTGCATGAAAATGTCTTCGCACGACAAAGGAAATTTTTACAAAATCCATTTGTACACTTTTTAAACAATTGCAAATAAAAAATGGCTTGGCATAAAGTTTTATCGTATTAAGCTTTAAGTTTTCATCGGTTTTTTATTAATATATATATATATATAAATACGGAAGTTCTGACATGGCATGACAAAGAAATTATTAAAAAGAATTCCTTTTATACACCCAGAGAAATGATTTATTTGAACCAAATAAAATATATTTGAATTAAATAAACGTATATTTGTCTCAGAGCCTACTAACTTATTTATTTGGCGTAAATAAAAATTTTATTTGTCAGAAATAAATTTTTCTTTGGCTCAAATAAATTTTTTATTTCAATGAAATAAAATATATTTGCAACAAATAAATGAGTTAATAGGCTCGGAGACAAATATACCATTTCTCTGAGTGTATATAATACTATATATAAATATAGTTCATTTTCTAATTTCTCTTAAGGATTTGAGAAGTGACATGTTTTTTTTCGATTTCCATATAATTTTGAGGCAAAAAGTGCAAGTCTTGTAGTATATTTTTACACGTTTATCCTTTGTCGTGCTGGAATGAAGATTTTCAAAGACACTTTTATTCCAATAATTATCAGTATAATTAAATTGATGTAATGAAAAATTGTATTTATAAAAATTAAACCTTTTGAGTTAAACTTTAAGAATATTAATTGAATAATTAAAGATAGTACGGTTTTTATGAGTTATAGCATTTTAAAGTTTGGTACTCAGAGGTTAGGACATACTGAATTACTGTTTTCCACCTATTAAATATTGTTTTACTCAAAATTTATGTACAAAAATATAGTATTTTATAAGGTATAATAGTTAAGAGATGTTTAAACAATATTTTCGTTCAATGTTGATAATTAAATGTTAAGATGTTTAGAAGATATATATATAATTCAAAGACATGAAATTACCCACTTTACGGAGAATCACCCATATGTAAATTTGCATATCAAAATTTCTTAAAAGTTACCATTACTTCTTAAAAAAATATAATTATGTATATGCATTAATTATTATTATATTTATTACTTTTTATTTGTTACATATTATTTATATTTATTATTTATCATATTTTATCCCTATGTATTTATAATATTATTGGTATCTTCATCATATATACCGAAAAAAAACTTCACTGTAAAAAATCTTTTTGGAGATTGTACATTCACAATTTGTATTTGTGTTAAAATTTGTAAAATTACTATATTCAATAAGGTTATGTTACTACATTAAAAAAAACACGTTTACCATTTTCTGTAAATTTACTACTTTCAAAGTGGGTAATAGGTGAAACATACTTAGTTGTTGCATCCGTCACCTATTACCCACTTTGAAAGTATAGTAAATTTACAGAAAATGGTAAAAGTGCTTTTTTTAATGTAGTAACATAACCAAAAAGATTTTTTTACAGTGAAGCTGATTTTCTATTTTTTGAATTGCATTAACCTGCCAACGGGATTTAACAGGATTTGTTTTTTTTTCAATCTTATTTCTCTTAAAGGAATTAAAACAAATTCAATTTTAATGCGATTAATTTTATTACATTTTCTATTGCAGGGATGTCATAAAATTGATTTCAATATTAAATTGGATTTATTTGCTACAATTCGTATTCTGACCACAAGAATTAAAATGATTTCAACTTTTGTAGTAATTTTTCAGAATTCAATGGTTTTAAACTGATTTCAGTTTACGTTGTTGGGATAACAATTCAAGTGTAAACATTTTCTAGACTAAATTTTCAAAGAATTAAATTGTATAGAAATGAAAACAGTCGTTTTACCAGAAAATAAATTCAAATGTAACTGGACAAAAACGACATTCGTTTGGATTAAAGTGTGTTTAATTTCATAATAATTTGAATTCAATTTTATTCATTTTAATCCACTCCTTCTTACCTACCGGGTTACACGACTCATTTAAAGGCATAAACAAAAAACAGGCAATTTAAAATTGTAAATAGAAAAAAGTCATGAGAGGTTAAAGTTATAAAAATTTATAAATGAAAATAATTTTCAATTTTTGTTTCAAATTTAAATTTTTATACTAAATGAAAAAATTAGAATTTATTTTAAAAAAAAAAACACACACACAAAATGACTGCAGAATGGCTAAAAAGAAAAGAAATAGAAAAAATTCGTGCGAAAAATGAAACAATTTGTGAAGCAAGAGCCACTGAAAAATTACTGGAAGAAAAACGATTGAATGTAATATGTAGAGGTGAAGAGTGTGACTATCAAAGGATTTTGTCTACTGCACGAGAGGAAATTGCGTTTGAAGAAAATTTGACTCATAAAAAAAAAGTCATTCAACAAGCTCATTTGGATCGTGAATGGACTCGAAAACTTGCCGAGGAAGTTTCCCGTCTTAAAAGTAGATATATATATATAAACATAAAAAAAACATAATATAATTTGTAAACTTGATTATATTATGCCAGCTGATTTCCACGATATTGAAAGTGACTTTCTTGTTATGAAAAGCGAGCAACTTCGCGGGCCGTTAATTATCTCGTAATAATTAATAATACAAATGAAGTAGTAAAGCTTTACTCAATTTGAAAGTTTAAATTTCTCCTCGCAAAAACTTTATATTACCAGTAGAGGAAAAAAAATGAACATTTCTTTTTTTTTAAATCATTTTCTAACGTCTCGGAGTATTTTACGCTTTAAAAAAAATTCTGTTGAGGTTTTCTACATTTTCTTTTTAGTCTTCCCCAAACTTCGTAGAGATCTACATAAACTTTTTAAATTATTTCCTGCTATAATTCAAATTTTTTTATTTTTTTTATGGAACGAAAGTTAAAATTCTCTTGCACTGATGTTTTTCATCGGAAAATTTTCTTGTCTAGTCATGAAAAGGTTTTCATTTTTTTTTTTTTTTTGTTAGAATTTTGCTGGACGTATATATAATTAACTGTACCTTTAGATGAAGAAACGCTACAGTTGAAACAACGTCAGCTATTAGGATCGACTTCCCTCGAACTTCGACAATTGGAGAAGCAACTGAGAAACGCCTACAACGCTAAATCTTTGCAAATTCAACTCAATGAGAGAGAGGCAATTCGAGCGAACACCAGATGCCGGGAATTGCAACAGGATAAAGCGATTAAGGGCTGGTATCAAAATGATCATTTGGAGCAAGATAATCGTGTTCAAGCTTATGAGAAGCGAGAACGTTATCGTCACGATTTGCAAAAACAATTAATAATTAATTGTCAACTCAAGAAAAATCGAAAATTCACCGACAATCAAAACGATTGTAAATTGAATGATGAAATCATTCAACTTCATAGAGAAGACGAGGCAAAAAAAATAAGGCGAAAAAAAGAAATGATAATTAAACTCAAAGCCGAGGAAGAATTATTTCTTCGAGCTAAAGAAATTGCAAAATGTGAAGAAAAAAAATTTCTTCTCAATGAACATAATCGGATCCAACGTATAATTGCAGAAAACGAAATTCTAGTGAAAAAAGCTAATGAAATAAAGGTAAAAAAAAAAAGTTATAGTAAAAATTTTTTGAAAATTATTTTATAAATTTTTTTTCTGCAATTTTATTATTTCAGAAAAGTTATTAATTAAAAAAAGAAGTGTATTTTCGATTTAATTATAATAAATAGACTTTTATATAGAAAGAAAAATTGGCAGCAAAAGAGATAATGAGAGAAAGAATAGCCTCAAAAATATTGGACGATGAAAAGAAGAGAATGGAGCGTGAGTATATTATCAATACGTTGCACGATGAGGAAGAGAAAATCACTATGCAAGCAAAATTGAGAAAACAGTCCCTGGAGAAGGAACGGCTAGCTAAAGAGTTATTGGAGGACATGCTGAGACAGAAGAAAATAAAGGATGAACGTAAAGCACACGATGTTGCCGTTGACAACGATTTTACTCAATATATCGTTGAACAAAATCAAATAGGCGTCAAACAAGAAAAAGATAAAATCCAAGACAGACGTCTACAAGGTTTATCTTTAACATTCTTTTTTCTTCAATATAAAATATATAAAAAATTTGTCTTTCTATAGAGGAAATTAATTTCCAAAAAAAAATTAAATTAATTTGAAAAATACATTTTTTAAAACCGTGGGCTAATTTTTTGCAAATAAAGTAAAATAAAAATAAATAAAAAAAATAATTTTTTAAAAATTAAAATTAATTTTTTTTAACGAATTTAAAAAATACTAATTTAAAAAAAAACAATAAAATTAATTTTCTCTCAAATATTATAATAATAAAAAAAAAACTAAACTAAAATATAGGCCACGGATTTTCGAATACAGATCTTCTTCAGATATTTTTTATTTCAATTATTTAACAAATTTTTAACTAAAATTCTTCTGTAAAATAATTATTTTTAATAATTTTAATTAAATTCCTCACAAATTCAATTAACATAAAATATTTTTCAATTTGAAAATTTTATGAAAATTCAATAATTGTTTAAAATTTAAAAAAAACATCAATTAAAATTACCAAAAATTTCAAATCAAAATCACTTGAAATTGAATTATTTTCAAAAATTTTAATTTAAAACATTTTAAAATTTAATTATTTCTAAATATAATTTCCATCTAATTTATTGAAAAATATTTTAAAAATATTTTACATAAGTTTCAATTCTGTAAAATTTAATTATTGTTCGAAATTTGTTTGATCATTAAAACTAAAAACTATGACAAAACTTTTAATTCGAATAAATTGCTTAAATATATGACTTCAAAAAATTAACAAAATTGAACTTTAAGAATATTTTATTTGGAATTTAAAATTAAAATAAATATGAATTAAAATTAAACTTAATTAAAATTTTGAAAATTTTTCTTTGTTCGATTCTAAAATATTCGAAATAAATTTTCTTGGTAATATTCTTATTAAGGAATTAATATCTAGTAACATTAGTTATTTAAATTAAAATATTTATTAACTATATAATTAAATTTAATTAAAATAAAAATTCGACTTTTTTTGCGAATGTAAATCGACTAAAACGACTTTTTTTGCACCTTAAAGTCGATCCGAGTTCTGAAAATATAAAAATTGTTTAATAAAAAAAAAAATAAAAATATAAAAATTGAAAAAAAAATCATAATTTACTATTATATGATTATATTTAGATCTTCGTTATGGAGAATATTTGAAAGCTGAGATAGCGAGGAAGAATTTGATGAAAATTGAAGAAAAGCGACGACAAGATGAATTAATTTCTAATGATAAAAAAGCAGAAAATATTGAGAAACAAAAAGTTTTCGAGGAATATTCTAGGATTATTAAATTGAACGCTCCTCAAGTTGAAGGATATTTCAAATTAAAAAATGTATCATTTGAAAATTTTGAAAATATTTCCAAACAAATTTATGTGAATCAATCAATTTTTTAGAAAATTAGTCAAAAATGTAAAAAAATATCATTCTTATATTCCGATAAAGTTATAAAGTATAAATTAAATAAATAAAAGAATAAGCACAAAATTTTTCAAAAATTTGCCTTTTAATAACTTACAAAAAAAAATAAAAAAATTTTCTTTTCATTAAAAATCATGGAATCTTTATTAAAACATAAACTAATTGACAAAGAGTAACAGAAAAAATTTCAAGAACCTACAAAAAAATTTTTTTTTATAAAAAAAAATTCTGAACAATAACCGAATTTTTTTTTATCTGAATTTCCATCTTGAAAAGTACTTTTCATCTTTCGATTTATTTGCTGATATTTTCACAATTTTTTTTTTTATCAGTGACTGGGTTTACTCACTTTTTCTCCGTTCAATTTACTTTTATCGCTCAGTTTGTTTCATTGCCACGAGTTTCATTCTTCCTCTGATATACCTACTGCTATTCCTTATGTGAGCAGGTGCACTTTGAACAAAGGATCGTTTAACTATATATATATATATATATATATATATAGAAGTACGGTAAATGAGTACAATTGGTCCAGTATTATCGTGGTTTTAAAGCTAAAAAAACTATAACCGAAAGAAAATGCATCCAATACTCTTTTCTTTTAATGTTTCGCTTCATAAACAATGCAATTTACCTAAATTTCATTTTTTAAACTTTATATTTGTAATTTTGAATTTTTAAAAATTTACATTATTTAAAATTATTACAAACTCCCATTTTATGAAATCGCTATTATCAAAATAATAAATAAATTTTAAATATTGTTAAATAAATGAAAATTACAAAATAGATAAAAAATAATAAATTAATATTGTAAAAATACTATTTTTTTAATAATAATTTTCAATATAAAATTATAAATAAATTTTAAATATGAAAATAAATAAATACTGTCGACAGGTAGTAATTATAGAACATCAGAGGTAAATATGGAACGCTTAATTCTTTTTTAGGTTCAACTTTTTAATTTGTTCCAATTTGGTACTTGTTTTAAATAATAGTTTAATATTTTGCCTACAAAGTAACTCAAAATTTTATTTTCATTATCAATGTGAAAAAGAAAATTGTCAAACTTCAAAAAAGTAAAAAGATTATTTTAAAGAAGTGCGAAAATCCATGAATTTTTTCGAATTCAATAAAAAAAAAAATTTTTTTGTCAATTTTGACGAAGAAAAAACTGAAAAAAATCTCATTTCTTGTTCCATAATTTCCCCAATTGATAGTACTAAAATAAAATAAAAAAAAAAAAATTAATTAATATTGTAAAAATATTTTTTTCAATATTATTATCAAAATATAAAATTATAAATCAATTTTAAATATATATAAAAATAAATACTAAAAAAATGAAATAAATTCAAAAAAAAAATATTCTGTATTAATACAAAATATTTTTTTTGAAATATGAAAATAAAATAATTTTTAAATAAGATAATAAATAAATACTAAAATGTAATAAAAGAAAATAAAATACTAAATGAATATATTGTAAACATTTTTTTTCAAATATCCGAAACTCTTGATTTAAAAAAAAAAAAAAAAAAAAAAAAACATTCCGTAGGTATGAGAAATGCGGAAAGAATTTTTTGCAGGAAGTGACCTTTATCAGCGAGAGTATATTGGAGGCATAAAAGTGTAAAAGGACGATCCGCTTGCTATTTTCCGTATCCATTGACAGGATGATAAATTTGCAGAGGGCAATCACACCTTGACTCCTCGGGGGTTCGGTGAAAAATAGAGATACCAGAAAAATGGTTTGGGTAAAGAAAATCCGTACGATTTTGCTACTGCTTACGTGGCATCTTGCAATGGACCGTTTGCCAAGTTCAATTTTGCAGTCGATAATTTATTGTTAGCCAACTTTGCCGTTCAATACCAGATTCCATATAATCTATTTACAATCAATTTAAAAGCATTTTCAGATTAATATTATTTTTATTCAATTGAAAAAATACTCCGAAAAATAAAAATCAATTCTAATTTTTAACTCTGGTAAACAATTTTGAGGAAATTAAATAAAATTTTTTTGCTCCACTCGAAAATTGTTATTTTATTAATCATTTTTTTTTTTTTTTTTTTTTTTTTTTGAAATTCTGAAATAAAAAAATTAATAATTTTTCGGTTTGTAAAACTATTTTTTTATTATTTGATAAAAATAACATTCGTATTTTATAAAAAAAAAAAATAAAATAAGAATTTCCCAACCAAAATAGCGTGAAATTTTCCTATGAATCTTTCACCTTCGACTTGTGAAACGATGATAAATAGGGTGCTCAATATCTTGAACGATGAAACCCCATTGTCTACAGAAGAAAATCGTTATTTTTATGTATATAAACGCGGCAAAGGGGAATAACGAGAACAAAGATATCGAGTTTTACAAGGAACGAAAAAAAAAAAATAATAAGAGCCTATTGTTGGCGGATTTCTGTCCAATTACAGGAAATAAGGGTGCTAGATATGCGGGGTGAAAGGAGATTAAACTTTTTGCACACATAGACTATGAGGGGATAACTGCGTGCGCGGCTCATTACCCACCAAAACCAAATGGGAAAAACGAATAGACACACCACAAGCTTGTAAATGCATTATTGCATTTATAAATGTCACATATCTTTGAAATTATGAGGAAATTAAGAGGAAAAAAATCTTCAAATAAAAACAATACTAAAAAAAAAGAATTTCAAAATAATTTTCTTCACTTTCATGTTTTATATTATTCTTCTAATTAACTCTTTTTATTTTCCACTAATTTCAATATTTAGTATTTTCAAGTACAGGATGTTCAGCAAATTAAAAAAAAAATTCAAGGACTTTTCAAGATCCAAAATAATTTTTTTTTAAGTTCCACTTTTTGGCGTAGAAACTTTGAAAATATTTTTTAATTATAATACAGGCCTCGGATCAACTTTAAAGCACAAAAAAGTCGTTTTAGTCGATTTTTTTTATTTTAACAAAATTTAATTGTTTAATAAATATTTTACTTTAAATATGTAACTAATGTTATTAGATATTAAATTCATTTTATTAATTCTGTAATGAGAATAATTCTAATAAAAATATTATCAAGAAAATTTATTTCGAATATATTTCAGAGTCGAACTAATTGTTAAGACAAATTTTCAAAATTTTTTTTAAGTAGAACAAATTTCTAAAAAAAAATTCTTAAAGTTACATTTTTATAATTTTTTCAAGTCTGATTTAAGCAATTTATTTGAATTTAAAATTTTGTCATAGTTCTCAATTTTGATGGTTAAAAAAATTTGAGGCAATACTTAATCAAGTTTTAACGATTTTTAAATAAAATTTTTTTTTTTAAATAATAATAATTTTGGAAGAGTTAAAGTTGAAATTTTGAGAAATAATTGAATTTCAAAAGATTTTGTTAATTTTCAGACAGTAATTAAATTTTACAGAACTAAAAATAATTTATCAAATAATTTTAGATAACATTTTTTAAAAGTAATTAAATTTTCCAAGATTTACAATTTAGATTTTTGAAATTAATTGAACTTCAAGTGATTTTTAATTTAAAATTTTTTGTTGAATCCTGTTACTAAAAAATTTATTAGAAAAATAATTGCAGACAAAAATATAATAATTTAAAAATTTTTTAAGTGAAAAATGGTCTCAGAAAGGTGAAATAAAGAAGATCTGAAGAAGATCTGCATTGTATACTAAAAAAAGACGTATTTTATTTAAAAATTTTGTAAAAAAAAAGTCGAAAAAGTCGCATTTTATTAAAATAAGTCAAAAAAAGTCGAAAAATTTGTATATTCCGAGGCCTGATGATAAAGTAAACTTTGTTTCTTTTCCCTGATTTATATATTAAGCGTTTTTCTAACTTTACTTTAATTATTAATAATAAAAAATTGATTATTACTAAAAGTTTTATATATTTTTAAACATGCTTAAACAGTTTAAGAATAGAAAAATTAAATGATAAATAAATTTTTAAAATTCTTAAAATAAAAGGAGAATTTGAAGGAAAAATTTTAAACACGAATAGTTTGAGGAAAACATTGAGAAAGAAAAAAAATAGGTCAATTTAAGAAAGAAAAATAGAAAATTTAAGAAAATCTTTGAAACAAAAAACGAGAATTTTAGAAATTCACAAAATAAAAAGTCTATTGTTCAAGAAAATTTAGAATTTTGGAACAGTTTTTAATATTAAATAAATAAATTTTTGATTTTTCAAAAAATTAGAATAAAAATCGAAAATTTTTTTTAAAAAAAATGAGAATTTTAGAAAAATGAAAGCAATATACATAGTGTGAAAGAAGTGAAAAACGAGAATTTTATAAATTTTCTAAATAAAAGGAGAAATTGCGAAAAAATTGAAAATTTGAAAATTGCTTTAAAAACGAAAATTTTTAACAATAAAAAGATTTAAGAAGATAAAAAGTACCTATATTAGAATAAAAGAAATTTTTAAAAAAAATTTCTGTTTTGAAAAAATTATAATTTATGGTGAAAAATCGATAATTCTGTTTCGTTTGTAAAAATAAATAAATATTAGGAATTTTCAATAAAGGTTTTTCAATGAATAACATTTTTTTTGCCACAATAATTCTAGTAATTAAATTTTTTAAAAAATATAGAAATGAACCAGAAAGTTAAAATTTTTGATGAGTATATGTATTGAAAAGTATTGAAATCAAACAATAAGTTCCATTCAATTTTTGATATTCTCGAGAAACTCTTGGCCTAATTCTGTGAATTGTGAATAAAGAAAAAAAAATGGTAAATTGGAACAACGATAATGGGAAAAAATGAAAGCACTGGTAAAATCGCGAAGCTAGTTGATTCGAATCGCTTCGTCATGAGAATCAATTCACTTCAGTTAAATTGAATTCTCTATAACTTACGGAAATAGACAGAAGTCCATTCTAACAATGCAATGGATTTTGAGATGTGAAATTTTCAAATGAAATAGACAAGTTCCGATGTTAAAGTACCATAAAAGAAGAAAAAAGGCAATTTCATTCAATATGAAGATTAAAGTTCTTTACAAATTCTTTTTATTGATTTTACAATATTTC